TTTTAAAATACTTGGAGCTTGGTGAAAAAAGTTTGGGCTTTAGTGCCTATTATACTCTTTAAAGTGTATAATAACTAGTTTCTTATATTTATGATCTCTGATAATTTAGTAACTGATTTAACGAGTGACATTTTTGAGTATCCAATCCTCATTTTTAAATAAATAAATAAATAAACTGCAAAAATGTGCAGAGAATCTAAAATCATTCACTTTGCCACTGGGCCAATAGACAACTGACATTGTCATTCAGCAATAAATATATAAATATAAGCATTTTTAAACTGATTCTGATACAAAATGTATTTTTTTCTTTATTAAGCTAGAAACAAAAGCAGCAAAAACACAATGGAAATATGACAACATAAACCAGGTGTTTATTTGCTTTATTACAGGCTGTGCTACACTGATTGGGAATTCAATTATTAGCAACCACTGCCGTAACAGTTATCCACACAGTAGACATTAGCTAGCTTGAGTCGTTGTTTATTTAAAGACAATTTATTAATATTTCAAAATGGGAATTAAGTGCATAACTAGGAATATATCTTGGCTTGGTGAAATTGAGCTGCATTTATCACCTCTGTAGAAAACTCTTTGCAGAATAAACATGCTAAATCATTCTCTCCCAGTAGCTGGCGCGCACAGATCAGTAATGATGAGCAGTGAAGAATCTACACATTTTATTAAATAGAGGGAAGAAAAAGTAGACTGAATTAAGCCCATTAATAAAAAATAGGTTTAGATGTTTAAGAACTGCAAATAAGCAGAGGTCTATATAAGCCCATATTCTAATTAAATAACACATACTTTCACATTACTTTCCTTAGATAGTAACTAACACATTTAGCTGCCTTTTTAAGTGACTGTAGATTGTAACGCAATGCTTTTCCCCAACACTGCAAATAAGATCAACAAATGTCCTGTTATATTCTTCAGACTTTTGAAGCATAAAACTCCAAATGATTGCCTGACAAGATTCTTACACTACACTACAACATTACGACTAAACTACCAAAACAAGGCATTTAGTTTAATGCTAAAAACAAGTTTAACCAGATTCATATATTATTATTATGCATCTCTCATAATATAATTTTTCATTTTATTATTTGTAATGTTCTTGACTAGCAAATCCGAATAGTCAGCTGGACAGCACTTCTAGTTTCATTTTCACAGCTGCTGCCTCAGTCAATTAATCAAGCCAAAAACAAAAGCGTTCATCAGCACAAAGTGCCTAGCCATGGTTCCATTGTTGTGCAATAGGGTATATGCCGAAGCATGCGAATAGGACTTTTAATTTGCCAGTAACCTGGGTTAAGCGCTTTGGGCGAATTGTATGCCAATGCAAAAATCTGCGCGCTTAAGGTCTTTCTTCTTTATAAATCAGCAATTACCACTGGCTGAGTGATATCTTATATAAAGTGGGTCTCAGATTGTACAAAAAGCACTGCATTAAATTACATTTTTCCCCGCCATGTTTTTATAATATGAGCATTTATTTTACCCCAGTATATTCAATGAAGCTTCTGCACTAGCCTGCCGATTCTGACGGGCGTGTGCGAGGAAACCGCTTTTTGTCTCGTTTTACACTTAAGCAACTAAATGAATGCCAAAGTTTATTTAACTGAATGTATTTTAATGACATTACAACAACGATGCTGTAAAAGGAACCATATAAAATGGAAAAAAGTTCACAATAAAAGCTCACAGGAAGTTTATTAGTATGGGAAAAACACTAGCTCGGCGTATACCCTATTGAGGGGGAATTTATATTTGATTGACAAACTTACAATAACTAAAGTGTACAATTAATCGTCGACAGTCTATTACATTGATAATCTGCCTCACAGTAGTTACATGTTTTATTGCAGAATTTTTTAGCTTTCAAATATTTTGTCTGGGCGGGCGGCCAGCCTTCAATCTGAGTGGGCCACTGCTATTAGTTATCACTACTGTTGACCTAGTTTGCTAATAGTGAATGACATCCAGTGTTTTATTATTATTGCAATACATTTTAAAAATCCAGTTTTTGTTTCCAGCAGTCGGATTAACTGTTCTGTAAGAAAAGAATCAGAATGGATTCAATACACATCAGACTCCTCTCTAATAAAGTAAAAAAGTATTCTCACTGAATTCCTCCAGATGTAGATGCCCAAAGCCATCTTCCTGGTGCATGATTGTTCATGAGGCACTCATCACTACAGCAACACAAATGCTCTTGTGCGCAGGAAGAATTTCCTGAGACAGGAAGTGGACTTTGGGAAGCCCTGCTGCTGCAGCTGAGCTTCTAGAGTACCTGCAGTCCAGATACTGGATCTCTGCTCACCTGCATTCGACTCAACTCTGATGCAGCACCAGGTGGGTCGTCATTCACTGTCACTGTGCTTTAACAAATAAAAGCTTTTGGTTCCCTTTAGATTAAGCCTGTTTCACACACTACATGGCTTTCATTGTTATATGAAGTCAAAGTTATTAGCCCTCCTGTAAATGTGTTTTCTTTTTCAAGTTTTACCCCTAAGGATGTTTAACAGAAGAAGAAATGTTTCACAGTATTTCCAATAATATTTTTTCTTCTGGGTAAAGTCTTATTTGTTTTATTTTGGCTAGAATAAAAGCATATTTTATAAAATAAATAAAAAAACACTTACCGTCAATATTATCACTGCTCTTAAGCAATATTTTTCTCAATTATCTACAGACCAAACCACTGTTATACAATGACTTGCCTAATTACTGTAATTTGCCCAATTAATCGAATAATAACTATAATAACAATAATAATAATAATTCTGTAAAAGATTTGGGTCCCTGTAATGTAAACCTCTTTAGTATATAAATAATAGCAACTTTGATTTTTCATTTGATATTTTGCATGCATTTATACATCTTTTTTTCAGGTATATAATAAATTAGCCTGCGTAATCTCTAAAAATAAAACATAGTTGAGTTTAAACTAAATAACACTGAAAGGTTTTATCCTGTTGTTATATTTTTAATTATAGGCTATTGCTGCTGTTTTATCAAATTTGTTTAATGTACAGACCCTCTATTTTGACACTTCAGCAGTGTGTAAACTGCACATTCTTATTACAAAGGTTTATTTTTTTTTATTTGATGCAGTTGTACTGTTTCATTTTTCTATCTTTAAATGAATATTTGTTTGTGCTGAATCTCTGTTGTTCAATTGTCATTTCCCTATTCTGTAAACAATATAACAGCCTTGAAGTGTCATTTATAAGATATTTAGTATGTTATAAATATTCCTCACTTAACAATGCATGAATAATCCTCACTCAAAACAATTGGAATAAAGCACACGCTGTAACTTTCCTCCTGAAAAATAAGATGTATTTGAATGGTTTATTAATCGTTTGTTTACACATTTGATGTAATTTCTACATCGTAGCTAATTTATTACGATGTACTTGTCAGAGGTGAGCTGTGTCTCCTTGTTTCTTCACATGCTCCATGCCTATCTGCCAAAGAGAAAGATATCAAGACTTTAATTAATCTCAATACATTTTTTTGGAAACTAACGCCATTGTGCAGTCTATTCCAGCACACAGAATAACGTCTTTATTCTGAGATGACCACTATTAATTAATACATATAAAGAAAAACTGTAACTAAACACATTCACTGGAGCTCTGGCCATTTGTACTGGGACACATGCCCCATTGGAGTCTATCGACACCCCTGCCTATAGTCTTCTCTCTTGCGTCAGATCAGGGTGTGCATTTACTACAGACATTATGAATTATTTACATTTAGTCATTTAGAAAAAGCTTTGGTCCAAAGCGATTTACAATAGAGAAGGCATACAGCGATTTAACAAGAAGAGGCAATACCTGCTAATTATACAAAGGAACTGTTTGTGCTCATATAAATGCTAGAGGGGAGGTGTGTTTTTCTTTTTTATATATATATGGAGTGATTGTAAGAATGTTTCTAATCCAAATGTGCAAAACTAGTGTTGCTTAAAGTGTCAGAAATTAAAAGATGTGTTTTCTACAGGTGGATTGTCAAGCCCCCTCACTTGTGCGAGGCACTCTCAGAGTTGATAATGTTTTGGGGTTGTCGTGTGATGAGGTGGGGGACGGAAGACAGATTTATAGTTTTGCACACAGGGGTTCAGGTCTTCTTAGGAGGCTTTTCTATGTGGAGTTTGCATGTTCTCCCCATGTCTGCATGGGTTTTCTCTGGGTGTTTCGGTTTGCACCACAGTCCAAAAACATGCGGTATAGGTGAATTGAATAAATTAAGTTTGTTGTAGTGCGTGGCATCCACCAGTAAATCAAATGGCAGAGTAATTGGCGATTCATTATGCTGTGGCGACCCCTGATAACCAGAGAATAAGCCAAAAAGTGAGTATTATAATAATTAGCAAACTGCAAAGAATTATAGTTTTATATAAACGGCTAATATTAATAATAATAATAAAAGGCGGCACAGTGGCTCAGTGGTTAGCACTGTCGCCTCACAGCAAGAATGTTGCTGGTTCGAGCCCCAGCTGGGTCAGTTGGCTTTTCTGTGTGGAGTTTGTATGCTCTCTCTGTGTTGGCATTGGTTTCCTTCTTGTGCTTAAGTTTCCCACATAGTCCAAACACATGCGCTATAGGTGAATTGAATAAGCCATAGTGTATGTGTGTGAAAGAGTGTGTATGGGTGTTTCCCAGTGTTGTGTTGCAGCTGAAAGGACATCTGCCGCGTAAAACATATGCTGGGTAACTTGGGGGTTCACTGCACAGTGGTGACCCCTGAGTAATAAAGGGACTAGGCCATCGTAAAATAAATTAATTAATTAATGAAAAAAAATTCATTAAATGAAAAAAAAAAGAAAGAAAATATTGATGTTATTAAAATTATTGTTATATATCAAACTGCAAAGCATTATCCTTTTATAATATTTTTACACACGTGACGTGACCTCATAGTGTGTTGCATGAATGTCAGTTCGGGTTTTTTTCATCACTGTTTTTCGTTCCGGCTGCGCGAGGAATCAAACATGGCGGCTGAAGGAGATGTGGATCTGGATCTGGAGGCTGAGGAGAACTGTACGGGAAAACCGACAGAAAAGCCGAGAAAGCATGACAGTGGAGCTGCTGATTTAGAAAAGGTTACCGACTATGCGGAGGAAAAAGAAATATCCAGCTCAAATTTGGAAACGGTGAGTTTTAAAAGCGAATGAAGCTAGTCAGGCTAGCAGTGAAGCCATGTGCACAGCAGGTTTCTGTATTAAAACTCAATGAACTACGATACATCTGATCGTGCAAAGTCTTAATTTTCAATGTCTTGATATTGTCAAGTTTATCGGCGGATTTTTCAACCTGTTGCTGATAGAGGTAAAGTTGGTTTTATATTCGCACATTCGTTCATTTAACTTGGAAGTATCTATATTTTTTACCATGTTACTTTAAATATTCGATCGGAATTAGCATGCCAGTGTGACTTAAAAACAACATTAACACTGTTTATTTGACTGTGAACAATGTTGTACTTTGATAGTCATTGGCTGCTAATATGATTTCACTGTTTAGTTGGCTAATAATACTTTTATGAAATTAAATTATTAAGGGGAAAGTTAGAATGTGCAAATATAAAACCAACTTTACCTCTATGTGTTGCTGAACTACCAAATTAGTAATTGAAACTCTCAATAAATAAGTTTGTGTAATAATTTGTGCTTTACTATGCCGAGATGTCAACGCCCTGAAAAAATGTAATTAGTGTAGGAAATTTAAAGAACAGTGTTGATCCTCTCAATAAAGTATATGGTTAATGTTTTGGGTTTTCAAAATTAATTTACGTAGTTGTTTTATTTAAGGCAATGTCCGTGATTGGAGACAGAAGATCCAGAGAACAGAAGGCAAAACAAGAAAGGTGAGCAATTCCCATCAATCCTTACCTTCATTTGAAGTATAATTCACTCAAAAATTTAAATTTGCTATTAATGTACTTTTTCTTGGGTCAGCCAAATTGCAACCTTTTTTTCTTAGTAGAATATAACGTTAAGCATTACATTATATCAAATGTTCTTGGTAGACAGAAGCTTTGAAAAATGACAATCTGCAAAAAGTTACTTACTTAATAGGTATAAAAACAAATAACGTTTTTGTTTTTTATTGTTGACATAAACGCTGAGTTTAAATAGGGATGCTCTGATCAAGATCATTACAGCCCATGTTGACTACTGACTCCGTGTCATGCAATTGGCTGATAAAGAGTACCGATTCTGATGCTTCAAGCTTTATATAATTGTGCCATTGCATAAAGCACATTTTTCCTCTAAGTATGATACTGAAGTGAAGCTTTCATCATACTGAGGAGAAAAAATAAAGCATGTATTCATGTAACCCTTTAAACATGTCTCTTATAACCATTTAGTGTGGACATGTCATGGTTAGGAGAGAACGTGTGTGTGTGTCTGTCAGTCAGCATGTCACCTTAAAGGGTTAAACGAATTACGCACAGCACTAAGTTTGCGCTGATATATTTCACTTGCATTTTAATACGTTTTGGTGCGATATATAACCCGCTATTAAAAAACAAACAAGCAACTAAATGTTTTGATTGAGAAGCTGTAATATAGCCATGGTGGGATGAATTTTGGTGTGGCCCCCTGCCATGGAAGAATAAATGTTGCTGAAACATTGGGTTAGATGTCTTGACTTCTTTTCTGTCCTTGGCCAATCACATACTCTTACTTTATTAGTTGGTGTAAGCCTTATCTTAACCAATTTTACATAGATGGAAATCTAAATTAAAACTAAGTGAATTGCTGAGTGTTTTCCAATATGCTATTATATATTTGAACATGCATTGTTTTTCTTTTACCAGGCATGTGTGGACTTTGCATGAAACATTAGGTCATGAAAATTTACTTAAGTCTTGGATTTTTAGTTGTAAAATGTGTATAACCCTGTCTCTTGTCCTGTTATCAGATCCCACCATGTCACAAATGATATAAGACTTGAAAAGGTACAAATGAATGTATATTATATAGTATACATTAAATATTTCATGATATTAGATTATGCAGTAGTGCATTTATGGTTTAAACTTTCAATTTAAAGTTTGCAACATGTTTAAAAAAGCAGTGTTTTCCCTGAGTTTGAGTTGCATTTGCATGATTTCGGCCAGCAGGTGTCCCTAGCATGTGCTGTTCCTCAAAAATATTCTTATTTTCAAAACTTGAAAAGCCTCACTATTGTATGTTCCGAGAGGGACTAAGAGTAAAATTAACAGCAAATTTTCATTTTTGGGTGAGCTATCGCTTTAACATTAAAACACACATTTTGCCAGAGAAAATACGTGGTTAATAAATGACAATGTCACTTCCACAGAGAAAAGGAGCTGGCCAAAGTAACAATAAAGAAAGAAGACGTGGAGCTCATAGTAAGTATAGAGCAGTGCATTCACTGATTTAGATGATTTGACGAGGATAAACATGTTAACGTGTTTCTCTCAGATGGGAGAGATGGAGATTTCCAGAGCCGTGGCGGAGCGCAGTCTGAGAGAACACATGGGGAATGTGGTGGAGGCTCTGATCGCACTCACCAACTGAGGAGATTGAAAGTTTTGAGCTGTATATGGACACATTGGACTGCCTTTTTTCCCGCTTGTGATGACCTTACCTTTTCCACACTGTACTTATTCTGTAATAAAGGAACCATTTTTAACAGCCCTCAATAGTTCAACTCACCCCTTTTCATGCTTTACATTCTCCAACCCCCCCTTTTTTTGGAAATGCATTCCAATGAGCTCAGTGTCACAGTAATTTATTACCATAAAACAACTAAAAGTACATTTTTTTTTTCTTTTAGAAAGTGAAACAAAAGCCTCAATTCTGTACACGCAATCAAACATTATCTAGATGTACTGGATTTCAACTGCAATAAACATCGAATGTCTTTGTTATGAGATTTCTCCTACTTCTGCACAAGACACTAGTAAACAGAGAGTGATGTAGAGGAGGGGAAAAGTAAAAAAAAAAGTGTCCTTGTTTGAGCTGAATTTGCTCTTTCTGGCGTGATGAACAGGATTATGTCTTCCTCTTCTGTACTGTTGGCCGGTCAAACACGTCTCTCACGCCCCCTGCCTTCTGTTTGAAGAACTTGCTATTCTGAGCACTTTCCTGAGCCCAGGCTGAGTCAAATGAAGTGGTGTCTTGATCCACCAAGTGTGTGTATTTGGTCCGTCCAGAACGTCCAAAGTTTTTGACCTACAAAGCACACAGATCATTAGTGAAATTGGCATTCACATAGATTCTAGACTATTAAAATGGAGAAGTCAGGACTATATTTAACTGCACTTTGCACAATCAACACAAAAAGAAAAGACTCTTTAAGGAACATTCCACTTTTTAAAAAAATAGGCTCATTTTAAGTTGCCTAGAGTTAGACCAATTTTCAATCCATTCAGCATATCTAATGGGAGAACTTTTAGCTTAGCTTAGACCACTGAATTGGATTAGACCATTTGGTTGTTTTTGCGTTATTTCGAGCAAATTCATTCTTCCGGTTTGAAAAAATTTTTGAAGCTGTGTCACGCCGATTAGATACTTGTGTGCATTCCAGCGTGTAAGCTGGCTGTCTGTACCTGGGAGGACTTCATGACGTTTCTAAATGTGCTGCATTAATTCATAAGAAAGGCTTGTTCAAACCAATCAGCATGCTCTATTGTGTATGCGGTGAAACTTCATTAATATGCATGATAGCTTCGAAGACTGTTTGCATCTGTACAGTATTCAGACGGCAGAGGGAGACACCACGTTGAGTTGCCAAAACAAGTTGGAGAAGAGTTGTTTGGAGATACGATTCGTCAGTGTTGCTTTTATAATTTGCTGCAAGGAAGGTTTTTGTTTTCATTTTCCCGTTATGAGAGCGCAACTGGACTCCTGTGTGGATAACAGTGCACGCGACACTCGGCAGAAATACGTGTCTAAGAAACATTGTTTACCCGAGAGATTTTCTCATCTGGAAATGGTGAAATGCGGAATTGCCGCTCGTCTCCTTTTAATAAAGACGCAGCTCCAGTTGAAGTTGATTGTCCTGTCTCTTACAGATTTGGTAAGTAAGCGATCAGTGGCCTTTGTTTATTCAGATGGCAAAGTTAGTTTGTATGGTCAGCAGTACTCTTTCAAGACTGACCTTAGTCAAATGACTTCTAAGTTACAAAAGTTTAAAGTATGTAAACATCACTACAGTAATATGGGCTGAAAGATCTGCTGTTAATGCTGCTCACTGTGTGTAAAAACATGTTAGTACCACAATCAAATTATTTCCGTCGTGGAGGATTTTCGGCTCATTTGTGACAGGAATAACACACACACGGCTTTCTGACGCTACCTACCGAGTGCATCCAAGTTACAAAGAAATACCGAGGGTTTTTTGCCATGCGGTTTCAAACATTACATTAAAAATACACGCTTCCAGCAATTCCTCTAATCAAATATCTCGTTTGTCACGAGGGGCATGAATGAAATTGCTAAACTGCAGTTAAAGTCCACCATTTATTTGTCAAATGGTTCGATTACTGATGTCCATGTAAACAGTCACTGTCTTTCTCCCCTGCATCTGTGTTTGTTTTGCCTTTGTGAAAATCAGCACGTTCCCTAAACCGACACTATTTTTATGCCCCTTCCCTCTTTCTTTCCTTCCGACACTCCCCCCTTAACAGAGCTGGACACGCCCACTTTTCTGACTTTTCCAAACTATAGGTGTGAAAACACCCTGCTGAAAAGGGGGTTTTGTGGCCCTTTAAGGAACTTTGCTGCCACATTATGGATGCAGAAGGTGCAATGATATTATGCAGCAACTGAAAATAGTTCCCAGCTCAGTAATATCATTGCGCCTGCTGCATCCATGGTGTGGCAGCAAAGTTCTTTGATTGTTATGCCGAAATGAGATTATAGTTCATAGACATACTGACCTAGAAAATAGCAATTTTGTATTTACTGTTGGTATTAAGATACGATTTAAAACAGGAGTGCCCAAACTCAATCCTGGAGGGCCGGTGTCCTGCAAACCTTAGTTCCAACCCCAGTTAGAGACACCTGAACCAGCTAATCAAGCTCTTTCTAGGTATACTAGTAACTTTCAGGCAGGTGTGAAGGAAGTTGGAGCTAACCTATGCAAGACACCAGCCCTCCGGGACTGAATTTGGACACCCCTGTTTTAAAACTATAGAAGTCAAGTTTAAATTATGAAGATTACTAAAAGTCTCAAGGTTTTTTTTTTTACAAGGGTTGTGCACTGTACATATATTATGGTACTTTATATTGTTTTTATGAACCTTGTTTAAAGTACCAAACAAGCAGAAGCATTAGTCATTTAAGTAACCACTCAACAGATTATTCAACTTCAGACACAAGCAGTCTAAATGGATGATTCTATGGATCACTTGTTCAGAAATGTTTTACTGTCGTTTATCTCTGACAAAACTAGACCATCCTAGGCAGAGCACAATAATCCTCAAAGAAATATTGTTTGTTTAATTACCAGTCAATAATAGTCTTTAAATACATGGCACTGACCTGCATGACTTTGGGTAAGATTGTTTTGTTGAAATGGTCCTCAAGAGTTGGAGCGCTGAAGTCTCTCTTGAAGACATCTTGCTCGCCATCCTACAGAAAAGATTAAATACATGTCAGACATCAACAAAAGCCAATTATAGAGAAGATCTGCTCATCACTCACCATGAAGAAAGCTCCTCTGTGATAGTACTTCTGCAGAAACTTGTATTTGCCCTTTGAGGCTTTGTTGGTAATGACTTTCCCGTTGGTGCGCAGTTCTGCTCTGCGCTCTTCCTCTGTAAGATTGTGAAACCTCTCGATTTCCGCTTTCTCTTTCTCCAATCTGCAATTAAAAATATGAAATTCCAAATTATTAAAGACTTGGAGCCAGACAGGGCTTCAGTATTGGTAATGGGAAACTTATTGTATATTTTTTTCTCGGAAAAAAAAAAAAGATAAGTGCCACTCACGCTTCTCTGGATTCTCGGTCCCTCTTAATACGCTTCAGTTCTCGGACTTTCCAGGCTTCGTACTCCTCTTCCTCGTTTTCTCCATCTGTGTCCAGAGCCTCAAGAGCAGCCAGAGTCCGTTTGTTCTCCTCAAACTCTTTCTTGGCCTCCTCCTCGACAATCTTCAGCGTGTAGCGTCGTCTCTCTTCAGCTTGTTTTTTGGCTTCAACTTCCAGCTCTTTCTGTCTCTGCTCCTCTGCTTCTCGTTCTGCCACCGTCACCCTGTCCTTCCTGAGAACATTGATAAATACTTGATTTATTTGTAGAGTCATTTTAACATTATTAAAATACTTTTACAATCTCTTATTTAAATCTTTTGATTTGGGGTTTTTATATTTGCAATCATTTTTTAATGTGTGCGTTGACTTTGTTTTATGATATAAAATGGGTTTAATTTATTTTTATTTCACATACCGCTTTAGTTGTTTAGTTTCAGTTAGTAATTTTAGTACTTATCTCAGTCCTTTATTTATTTAATGCCATTTCAGCAGCATTGGCTATATTCATGGCAAAACCTATACTAAATATACAATATAAAACATACAGTCATATCAGTTTCTTAACAAATATTCATTGTACAAAAACAAACAAAAAAAATGCACAAACAGCATCAACACTGAAATGAGTCATGTACAATCTTGGTTTGATTTAAGATATTCTAAAATTCCTCCAGAAGACATCTTTTCAAACATTTCCCTTAAAATATTTCCTCTAATATCATTTAAAAATACACATTCTATTAAAATATGTTATCATCAAAATATTTTTACACAAGTCACAGAAAGTTTTTTCTTCCCTTTTCAATAAATGTAAGTGTGCAAGTCTAATGTGCCGATTATCATATGCACAACCTGTCTATTTTCAAAATGGTAATAATTCATTTAATTTACAAATGAATGAATTTATTCATCCATTCATTTTCTTGTCGGCTTAGTCCCTTTATTAATCCGGGGTCGCCACAGCGGAATGAACCGCCAACTTATCCAGCACATTTTTACGCAGCTGATGCCCTTCCAGCTGCAACCCATCTCTGGTAAACATTCACACACACACTCATACACTGCGGACAATTTAGCCTACCCAATTCATCTGTACCACGTCTTTGGACTGTGGGGGAAACTGGAGCACCCGGAGGAAACCCACACAAACGCAGGGAGAACATGCAAACTCCACACAGAAACCCCAACTGAGCCAAGGTTCGAACCAGCAACCCAGCGACCTTCTTGCTTTGAGGCGACAGCACTACCTACTGCACCACTGGGTCACCACAATTGAATTCACTTTATACAATTATTATTTATACAATAATTTGTTGTTAAAACATTCATCCCATACCTTCTGCCATTTCTCATTAATATACCGATTTAAAACATCAGGTTTATTGTCAGACACAGGAATTTTACATTCGGTTATCTCCACCTATAGGGCTGCCTTAGCTGCCTTATTTGCACATACATTTCCAGTGAATCCCTTATGACCAGGTATCCTGCAAAAAATATCAAAGTCTTTTATCTTTAAATTCTCCACTTTTTCTACTTTGCTATAAATCATAGGATGATCAGTTTTTAAACATTCAAGTGCTTGTAAGCAGGACATAGAATCTGTGCAAATTAAAAACTGGTGTTGCTTTTCTTTTTCTATTTGCTTTAGAGCTAAAAGGAATACCCTTTATGAAAGACTCTGAACCAATCACTGCTGCAGTAGATACTTATGACTTTGAACCATCTGTATACACTGGTACATATTGAGTTGGTAGACTGCATCGTAAAATTATAAATTATTCCTGATAAACATTTGGATGGATTTCTCTTGATATGATATCCTAGCAATTATTTCATTGATTTGCCAAAGGCTACTTTCGGTGTTTCCGAAAGTTTCTCCAAGTCAAATCTGAGCGTTTTTAAGACCAAAATGTAATACTCTTACCATAATGTTGGCATCATTTGTAGCAGTAAATACAGTGAATCATATTTGGACTAGAGAGAAAAAAAAACTGCAACACTATGGCAAAATAAATAAATAAAATTTTTAAATAGGTAGTGTTACACAGAATTTGTTTTAAATTATTTAACTACACAACACTTATATATATTATATTAGACAACACTTATTATATATAATATTAGACTTAAAAAAAAGGCTCTGCAGAAACCCTGTACATTTCTTCATTTAGTTTATCAAAGATTTAAGGTTTCATTTCAACTTTATTTAAATTAGCAAAAAATTTTTAACAGTTTTAGTTTAGTTCAATAAAATAAAAAATAAGTTTTTCTCAGAAATTGTAATTTACTAAGTAGTTTTAAAAATGTGTACTTTTACTTTTCCTTGAGTACATTTATAGTGATCTATCTATACTTTAACTCCACTACTTTCCTTCAACCTGCAGGTACTACTTTATTTTTCTTCTCTATGGGGATTAGAAAAATCAGCCCTGTGATTCCTGTCCCATTAAATCACACACAGAAAGTAAATAGCATCATAATGAACTACCTCAAGACATGAAGCAAACTGTTTGGTAACATTAAAAGTGTCCAGGAAGATACACGCAATAACCCAGAGACTCTTTAGACTGAACATCACTGATGAGAAGATGATGAATGTATACTGTATGATGACCGAAATGGCCTTAAACAATAACTAAATGCACAACTGAATTTTTCTTGAGTATGATTTTTCAGTACTCTTTCCACAACTACTGTCATAAATATGCTGCATCTTTTGGGCTTATTCATGGTGTGTTTAAAATAATTTGTTGATGCTTCTATATTTTTAATTTCCTTTAATGGTGAGTAGACAGGCTAACGTTATTTTGCTCTGCTTTTTAAAACTTAATTACATTTTTTTTGGAATATACATCATCATGTTCATGGATAAAAAGTTCATTGACAGTTTAGTTTATATAGAAGCTGCTCCCATAACTTGCTCAGTGTCAAAAAAATGATGGAAAAAAGGTGGATAACTATAAAGGAGGCATAAGCAAAGGCATTCATGCTAATGAAACTTACTTTCGGATGAACACAGGCTTCAACCGAGGCTCAGCCTCATCCTCGCTGTCTGTGTATTCCTCATACTCCGACTCAGATTCAGACTCCTCTCCAGACTTTCCCTCCTCCTCCACCTCCATGATCTCCATATCCTCGTTCTTCCTTTCTTGTGCACGCTGACGCATCAGTGCTCTCCTCCTCTCAATTTCCTACACAGAACACACCACCAATTTGTAAACTCACTGAAAACGCATACAAGCATTAAAGTCACCCATTTATTTTTCTCGTTCGTTTATTTGAGTTACAAGGAATGAAGGTGGTGAATGGGATTAGCAACAGACATTATAAATTCTCCTTTTAAACAATGGTTGCAAGAGTTGTTCCCTTGTTTGGCATTAGAATTTTTTTGCATATAGTTAAAAGAACACCTGGAAAGTTCTTCAAAATATGAAATCTGTCTGTAGGAGAGGCTGATACAAACCTTCAATCCATATAACTTATTTCACCTGCTATTAATATATTATTGTTTTGATACCTTTATAGTGGGCACGTATGTACATGCATTTAATTCAATTTTTTGTAATAGTAATTTTATTATTATTATATTTATAATTTTTGTATGTTTTGTTTTCTTTAGTACACATTTAAAGTTCCTAAAGAATTAATAAAGACATTGTTAAAAAACAAAACAAATCAATGGGCATTATATTACTGTTCACCTCTTTTTTCGATATATTGAATACGCACTGTCATACAAAAGACTCATAAAAACATTTAAAAAAACATTTAAAATGAAGTCACGCACTTCATCATCGACTTCCTCCTCCTCTTCGCTGCTCTCCTCTCGTTCAGGATGCCACGTTCCTTCATCTGAATCCTCACTGCTTTGAGCAATCAGCTCTGGCTCTGCTATCTGTCTGTGTCTTGCAAGCCTGTGGGGGAATAAGCACCCAGCGCATTAAGACCCATGGACCTCTAGCAAAAGAACATCATGTATTTACTACAGACGAATAAGATGGATATGATTTACCTTTCCTCAACATCTTCAGAAACTCGATTCATGAGACGTCGAAGACGAGGATCTGATTTCTCCTCCTCTTCCACTTCCATCTCTGGTTCAGCCTCTTTACCCTTTTTAACAAACTGGAAATCTTCCTCTTCCTCATCCGAGGACTCCATAGGGGCATAGTCGGGACGCTTACCAGAAACATATCGCTTTACCTTCACCTTCTCCATAGAAATTTCACCTGGAGGCAGACAAACACAAACCTTTAATGTTGGCAGGGGATTGAGCTGATTTACTTTTCCATCTTGACACCAAAAACAGAAGTCAATTTAAAAGACTATTTCCATATGTGAAATATAAACATGAAAAAACAAACACCAACTGAGCATCCACATCAACTCATAACTTATTATGGTCTGTTTCTACAACCATCAATATAGCTAGGTAATTAAACTGCCAGCATACGAAACAAAAGTCCATACAAACAAGTTAAAGTAGGTTAATAACAGAAGATTGATTGGGATAAATAGTTGCTTTGTTTAAATCAGTATTCCATTATTAACAATATAAAAACACTGATCACGTCAAAACATGCTAACAACTAAAGCTAACTCTTTGGTTTGTTACCTTTTTCATTGCGGATAGGCACAGCTCCAGCCGTCGACTGAATCGGCGGCTGCTTGTTATTCAATGCGTCAAATGCCGACATTTTGGATCGTTTGCACTGGTCCCGTTACACTACAAATAATGTCAAAATAGAGTAAAGTCTCTCCGTAAAAAAAAATTCTGTTTACAGTCCTCTACCCACCAACATGGACGTGGCGGATGTGCTACTCTATAGAAAACCCACCGTGAAATTGTCCTCCGGAAACGCGTTATTAGTTGGTTCCTACCTTCGATTCGTTTTACTCCTGACATTTCCTTGCAGAATAACAAATGATTCTCTCCCCCAAATTATACATTTTAACTGTAACTACATTTTACTAATTATGCTCAACTATAAAGTCACATTTTACTTAATAATAATAATAATAATGTTCTCTTCATGCACGAGCCAAAGGTTTCTCCTTACTGAGGACTGTTTTTCTTTCTTTCTTTGTTTATTTCTGTTTCATTCTTTCTTTCTTTATATATATATATATATATATATATATATATATATATATATATATATATATATATATATATATATATATATATATATATATATATATATATAAATATATATATATATATATATATATATATATATATATATATATATATATATATATATATATATATATATATATATATATATATATATATATATATATATATAAACAAACACACACACACACAGTTAGTCATAATTATTTGCCAATCCCCCCCTCCCCACCCCGAATTTTAAGTCCAATTGTTTATTTTTTTCACCAAGTTCTGTTTAACGAAATTTCTACTCATAATATTTTTAATAACTCATTTTTAATAAATGATTTATTTTATCTTTGCCATAATGACAGTAAATAATATAGCCTAATGAAAACCTGCTTCAGAGTGCTATTGACCTCAGACTGGGGCGACGGTTCATCTTCCAGCAGGACAATGACCCAAAGCACACCGCCAAAATGTCAATAGAGTGGCTTCACACCACAACTCAGTGAATGTCCTTGAGTGGCCCACCCAGAGCCCAGACCTAAATCCTATTGAACATCTCTGGAGAGATTTGAAAATGGCTTTACAACGTCCCCATTTAACCTGATAGAGCTTGAGAGGTACTGCAAAGAGGAATGGGCAAAAATTCCCTAAGACAGGTGTGCCAAGCTTGTGGCATCATATTCAAAAAGATTTGAGGCTGTAATTGCTGCTAAAGTTCATCAACAGAGTATTAAGCATGTGAATACTGATTTACATCTGATTTTTCAGGTTTTTTATTTTTAATAAATTTGCAACAATTTCAAAAACTCTTCATATTGTCATTATGCAGTACTGTGTGTAGAATTTTGAGGAAATAAATAATTTTAATCCATTTTGGAATAAGGCTGTAGCATAAATAAATGTGGAAAAAGTGAAGTGCTATGAAGACTTTAAAGATGCACTGTATATGTGCTCAGCCTATATAAGTACAGCCCCCACAAATCTCCCATATGAATTAATATTTTCTATAGGAAGCTTTACAATATTATATTTGTGCATATACATTAAATTAGTCAGCACTGAAGCCAAATCTGGAGCTTATCTAACAAAATAACTTATAATACTGCAATTTTTGCAATATTTTGCATGAATTTAAATAATAATAATTAAATAAATTATCTTTCAATTTCTAAAACTTAACTTTTTTCCTAATTGGTCATTCAAACCTTCAAGTCAAAACAAAAATATGGTTAATAGACCACGTTTTCAGAAGACTCACACAGACTGCGTGAAAACTGAATGACGGCTGCCAAGACATATCCTGACAGAGTTTGTTTTTTTTAATTTTTTGTCATAATGATCTATTTAGAAAAAGTAAACACACAATTACATTAATCCCTTTCAACAAAACTTTAATTGCATTTGAAATCAGTGCATGTATAATACATACTTTATTAAATACAATTATATGATTAAAAAAGGTAACATCTTAATATTAAATAACTCAAGATGCATCACAATTTCAAAAATTCAAATGATAATATCCCCAACCTGGTGTTATTTTAACCTGAATTATGTCATTATCAACACAAAAGGAAACGTCATTATCTTGTGTCCACAGTAGAAAGAGTGATACACGCCTGGAACAACATCAGAATGATTTTGGCTGTAATGTCCACAAGGTAAGAAACATTCCCTCATGGTCAATTACATCACAAAGAAAACAAAGCACCACAATTTTAACAAGTAATCTGTGTCATCATAACTTCACTCCTCTCTCCAAAAAGAGCTGCTGCAGTTTCTCCTCAATTGCTGCATTGGTGCCACGAAGCCCTTTTACCACTTGAGATGCCCATTCAAAGTACTCTTGAACCCTTTGTGCTGACCAGCCTATCAAAAAAACAAAAAAAACAAGACTATGTTCTTACACAAGTTTAAAAATTACAGGTAGTAAATATTTTGATAGTCATCTCAATATTTCACCTTCGGGAGTGCAACGATTAAGGTCTCGTAAGTTATACAACTTGTCCGCTAGCTTAACCAGCTTGGCCTGATGGCTGCAGTGTGGTGCGTGCTCCACTTGCTGACGTTTTCTTTCCGCTTTAGGCAGCGACTTGTCATCGGTCACCTCCTGGACAATTCTGGCCACTGTTGCTCCAAACACAGACTCCAGCTCTTCAAAGGTGGTGTCGGTGTCCTCCACTGTGTCATGAAGCAGTGCTGCCTGCATCACAGGTGCATACAGATCAGTCACATTAATGCATTTGAAACATTCTGTTTCTGTCTCTGTAATCATTTTGTTCCATGAATTAGAAGGATAGTTCACAGCTCAAATCTAAACCTTACTCACCCTATAGGTGTTCCAAACATTTAAGAGTTTCTCTTTTTGTTCAAAGCGATTAACAATTGAGAAGGCATTCAGTGATTTCACAAGAATAAGCAATACATACAAGACGTGCTGATTAGACAAAGGAACTGTTAATACTCAGATAATTAAGTGCCAGAGTAAGAGGGAGGGTTTTTCATATAGAGAGAGAAGTGGGTTTCTACAGGTGGTTTGTCAAGTCCACTCACTTGTGTAAAAGCACATTTCATAAAGATATATATATATATTTAAATTAGATATACAAACATAAGATACATAATCAGATACAGAGTGATTGTATGCGTCTGGTGCAAATTTGCACAACTGGTGCAAGCGTAGGTTAAAGTGTGAATGTGTGTGTTTTCTACAGGTGTTTTGTCAAATCCACTCACTTGTGCGAGGCACACTAAGAATCTATGTTTTGAGGTTGTCGTGTGGTGTAAAAAAATAGCATGGATTTCACATTACAATTTCCAGCATTCTTCAAAATATCTTATTTTGTGTTCAACAGAAGAAACTTAAACTTGTTTAAAACATGTGGGGGACGGATAAATGATGACAGAATTTGATTATTTCTATTTTTGTGAGAACAATCCCTTTAATTCCTTATTATTTCTTTAGAACTTTATAAAACAGGTTATTATTAAAACACAGACAACACTTTACAGAGAAGCCAGAAACACATTTCTGACTCACTTGTATGACTTCGACATCTGTGATTTCACCCTCATGACTTAAAATCCTCGCCACCCCTGTAAAGAAAGGAAAACACCTTTATTTTCTGACGTCTGTCAAAATATATAAGACTCATGAACTGCTTTGTAAATTACCAATCGGATGATTTATATATGGTGTGCCTTCAGGATCCTTGCGGCGCTGATTACGATGTTTCTCCGCGGCGAAATTAACCGTTTCTAGCAGCACTGCAGTCGACGAACAATTCATGCTTACTTCAAACTAGAAGTAACTAATAGGTAGAGATTGAGTCTATAATAGCTTATAATGCTTTGTGAATATATTTCACAAGAGTTTATACAGAATATATATGTCAATTATAAATTAAAGAACTATTTTTGACCTTATCTATGAATTTTGGTTATGGAAATCTGATGTTTTGAGTCCGCCAGACTAAGATGTCCGTACGGAAACTAACGTTAGTGTAGTGATATTTTGATTCGTGGGAGTTGTTCTTTTGAGTCGGATCTTTTTAACGAGTCAATTCTCTGGTTTACAAAACACATTCTTTGAGGATTTTTGCTCAACCTTATTATTTATTTTATTATTTCATCACTAATAACTATTTTTAATTAGTTATGATACCAATGATTACATTTCCACTAGTCAAAACATAAATTCTTGATGTCAATAATTATGTTACCAATCACATAAATTCTTGATACAAACAAATAAACAAATAAATACACAATAAAAAGCAAGCAAGCAAACAAACAAACAAACAAACAAACAACAAATAATCTGCTGCTAGTAAAACAAATGATTGCATATGACAACTGTTAATGCGTGGTTTGCTGAAAAGAATCACTGAATTGACTTTTCTGTTCGAAAGAACCGACTTTCTAAAATGATTCAGAATTTCACTGAGTCAGCCGTCATATAGCAAACCCACTTCCGGAAAAGGTGTTCGAGGTATTATACGAAATTACTGTATTTTATTTATACAATAATTAATGAATTTGCATGACTATATTACTGTTATTATTTTGGCTGAAATAAGTAAGGATTTGACGATTCTATTTGCTGACAAACGGTGTAAATAAAACACTAACCTGAGCTGCTGTATGAAACCAGCCTTATAGTGACATAAGCAGAATTGTGACAGGAGTTGTTTACATTCAGCATTCGGTACATGCAGCTTCCACATATCGGAGGGACAGAAATGCTTAAACACAAATGTTTTACATGTTTGTCCAGCTGTCAGGATCTGTCCATATGGCTCAGACAGAGAGGAGAGATGCTCCTGAACTGCCCGACTTCTCATTGCTCAAAAGACTGGCAAGAGACCAGCTCATCTTTCTGCTGGAGCAGGTGAACAAAATGTGCTCAAAAAAAGAAGCTTTTTCTTGTGTATTTTCATTGTTAAGTGCCAACATGTATTGTTGTTTTTGTTTTTACAGTTGCCAGGGAAGAAGGATTTATTTATTGATGCAGATTTGATGAGTCCTCTAGATCGAATTGCAAATGTCACAATCCTAAAGGTGTGTTATCTTATACAACAAGGTTTGGGAAATGATTTGCAGTTTATATAATTTTTTAGAAAGAAGCAATACACACACACACACACACACACACACACACACACACACACACACACACACACACATACACACACTAATAATTTAACATCCATATCTGATTTTGCCTTGTAGCAACATGAAGTCGACAAACTATACAAAGTTGAGCTTAAACCAATCGTCAGCAGTTCAGACCAGTAAGTAAATTCACATGTTCATTACGGGAATTTTGATTATACATGGGTTCTTCTTTAAAATATTCATATTCTCTCTCGTGTACAGGCTGTGCTTCCTCATACGTCCTAGAATACAAACTGTGAAGTGGATTTCAGGTTGGTACTGTTTGGAGTTACATGGCTATATGCAGTTGAATGCAAAATTATAATCCCATCTGTGAAAATTTTGTTATTAAATATTTTCCAAATGAGGGTTAGCACTGTCGTCTCACAGCAAGAATATCGCTGGTTCGACGCCTAGCTCGGCCAGTTGACGTTTCTGTGTGGCATTTGCATGTTCTCCCCGTATTGGTGTGGGTTTCCTCCGGGTGCTTCAGTTTTCTCCACAGTCCAAAGACATGCGCTATAGGTGAATTGAATAAACTAAATTGGCCGTAGTGTGTATGTGTGGATGCAAGAGTGTATGGGTGTTTCCCAGTGCTGGGCTGCAGCTGGAATATGATGAATAAAGAGACTAAGACAAAGGAAAATTAAAGAATGAATTTTCCAAATGATGGTTAATGGAGGGAAGGACATTTTTACAGTTTTTGCTATACAAACTTTTTATTCGAGAGAAGGATTTTTTTTGTTCAGCTGGAATAAAAGCTGTTTTAATTATTTTAGGACTAATAAGAAGTAATTTTTTTTATAAAAAAATTGGTTACAGAACAAACCACTGTTGTCCAATGACTTGTCTAATTAACCTAACTTGCCTAGTTAACCTAATTAAGCCTATAAATGAGACTTATCTTATCTAATAGTATCTTGCAAAATAACTAGAAAAAAAATATTATGTACTGTTATTATGTTGGAGACAAAATAAATTATTTATTGGGAATTAGGTAATAAAACTGTTATGTTTAAAAAATGTATTGACAAATATTTAAAAAAAAATAATTCACAGGAGGCCTAATAATTTTGCCTGTTTAACTGTTGGTATTGTATGATTTTAAAAAAGCATTAAGTATAGTTTGATAATTTGTTTTAACTTCTTTACAGATTTAGTTAATTCAGACAAGGTAGCTGGACGATTCAGAAGATATAAGATCATATTTACCCCACAAAAGGTAACTAGTTTTTCTATAACTGCACTTTATAACTTATACCTGTATCCTGCACTTGCTGCTATTGCACTGCTGGTTAGACCTCAACTGCATTTCGTTGCATTGTACTTGTACATGTGTAATGACAATAAAGTTGAATCTAATCTAATTTAAATTTAAATTATCTTGTGCTTTGGTAATCATGTTTAAATGTGCTACATATTTATTTAGATTTCTGACTGTTAGGTTATGATCTTCTTTACAGTTTTATGCGTGTGAAACAGTTTTGGAGGAACAGGGTGTCTATGGAGGTGAGTTAAATGTGCTCAATGTTTCAAGCTTTATTTTTTAGCTACATTAGACAGACATTAACAAGGACACTCTTTCTCAGATGTTACAACCGATGAATGGAATTTCTACATTCTTCCTCTGGATGACGATATCCTCAGCTTAGAGCTGCCAGAGTTCTTCAGAGATAACTTTCTGGTATTGATGTTCTTGATGCCATACATTGTGTGCAAAATAACAACACTTTTTTTTTAAGTGTCATGTTTTGAACTTAAAGGGATAGTTCACCCCCAAATGAAAATGATATCATCGCTTGTTTAAAACCTGTTTGAGTTTCTTTATTCTGTTGAACACAAAAGAAGATATTTTGAGTAATGCTGACTGCTGGCACCCATTGACCTGCTATCCTTTATGAAAAAAAGAGCTTTACCTCGCATAAAAACAGATTAAATTCAATTCAAGTTAATTTGTATAGCGCTTTTTACAATAACTATTGTTCCAAAGCAGCATTACAAAAGGTGCCCATGAGGGAGAATGATGAGCTTATTATCATTTAGAGCGAACTATCCCTTTAATGCAGGGGTGTCCAAACGTTTTCTTATGAAGGGCCAAAATCCAAACTTCATTGAGGGCTGTGGGCCGAAGATAAAAATAGCAAACTGTATTACATTAAAGTTTGTCATGAGTAATTTATGTTCCTAATATATATATATATATATATATATATATATATAAAAGACTAGAAAACATTGCTTTATATGAACTAATGCAGTATAATTACTAAATAATATAGATATAATGAACGTATTACAATAAAAACAAAATAAAATCCAATTTATTACACAATGGAGTTCAATGCCGAATAATAAGTCGAGCTTTTGCACTGATTTGCTTGCGATATTTTGTGCATTGTCCTATATCCGTTGAGAAACAATATTTCCTTTTTTTTATCTGATTAATTTATAATTTTTGAAATGTTTAATTTCAGTTTGCTTTTTTTGTAGCTCAACTCAACAATAAAACAAACAAAAAATGTTCCGTTAAATTCAAAATGATGATTTCTGTTAAAAGCATTTTCCCAAATGCTCTCCTTCATTCTCCTTCTCTTCTTAGATAGAATGGTGGGCCAAATCAAAGGTTATCATGGGCCAACTTTGGCCCACAGGCCCAAGTTTGAACATCTCTGCTTAAATGCTTTGTTGAAGAGAAAAAAAAAAAACATGAATGATAACTTATGTGTTGGATATGTGCTTCACATTGTGTGTAAATAATAACGTTTGTATTTATAAGGAGGGAGACCAGCGCTGGGTGACCACTGGAGGGGGTGCTTTACATCTTTTACAGTCTGTCTATGGTTCCTTCTCAAAGGTTTATGGGATTGGAAGATGTGCCAAGGTGAGGATTAGTAGACAACTTTACCTTCAAAAAGTTTATATTTCAGTTGATGAAATGCAGATTTACATGCCATATGTCTTTCTATAAAGATGGTGTATGAATCCTGGAGGGAACTAATGGAGGAGGGTGAACAAAGAACAAGACAACCTGAATTTGCCAAAGTATTTCTTATCGACAGAGGTCAGTAATTTGAAATCAGATGCATCTTCATTTTTTTCACTTGTGGAATTGTGTCAGAGTTGAAATCTTTCGTTTTTGTGTCCACATTCAAGTAAACAAAATTTAATTTTATAAATGCAGAAATAATAATTATTTAAAGTGTTTAATTTAATGTTTCAAAACCCCTTTTTTTTCAAATAAAAAGTCAAAATATTATTACATCATCACTTTGCGTGACAGATCTATACATGTAATATTGAAACAATATTCTCATTCTGACATACATTTATCAAAATAAATAAAAGAATGAATTAAACTTAATGTGATTACATTTTATACGATTAAAAGTTTATTTTTGTTAAATAATATTTGTACAAATTTATGAGAGCAAAGATTTAAATGAACAATTGGTATTTATGGGCTGTACTGTACTGGGCTGTATGATCAAAATTGTATTTCACAGTATGAGAAGGTTTATTTCACTGTAACCATTTCTTTCACAAAATAGATATTCTAAAGGTAGTTATTCCAGAAAATTCACAAAAGGGCTTTATATAATAAATGTGCAAAATAAACAAAATATGACTTCAGATGAACAACAACTGCATCCCACTGTATGTCACATTTCAGTTTATTGTGGACAGAACTTATTTATATAAACACTTCTCAAGAAACAACTTCTTACAGATATGAAATATACAGTATGCCAGGTGAGTAACGAGAAAAAAATTTAAACAATTTAAGGAAATATCAAACAGTTTTTTTCCCTTCAAAAATACAAAATATAAACGATTACAATTTCAGGCTGTTTCTTAATTCCAAGAACGCAGAGAACAAACCTGTTTTCTTGTAAAGGCCGGTCTTGCTAGGTCACCTTGGAAGAACGAACTCAGGGGACCGCTAGAATACAATGCGTCCTGTGAGAAATGAGAGATGCTGCGTTCTTCCTGATGGTCACATGACCTTCACGCATTTTTAATGGAAAATGTATTTAAACATTACAGCATTCATACAACGGTTTATTGTTTTTCCCTTTTTTTACAATATATACTATGCATAAAGACTTTACAAATATATGTTGCACAATACAAGTAAAACAGATTTTAATATGATCTTTAGCAAATAAACACCCTTAATGTGTTTATGCCTTTATTAAGATTTTCATGGTGATGTTTATATTCACCGTTTCATTTAGGAAAACTTCTGAGGTTAATAAGTTATATCTCTGAACTTTAATACTAAACCTATATAAAATGCTGCACTTCCCACCTCCAGTCGCAATGACTTCTTGAGCGAGTTTAGTGCTCAAATCTTTACGTTTAATGGTATACATGGAATAAACCATTTTTTTACAGTACACAATGTATTCTGTGGTAACATTCAGCAGTGAAAATTAAACCACACTGAACTTAACTAAACTGAACTACAACTCTGAAAACTGGACTGACAGTTTCAATTTACTAGAAGTTCTATGCTAAGCTGCTTTGACACAATCTACATTGTAAAAGCATTATAGAAATAAACATTAAGTGAAGTGGATATATAGCCCAGCCCTTACCAATACTGTGATCATTAAATAGTTTTTATTTTGACATCAAATTTTTTTTTTAATGTGAATATAAAGACAAGATATTTTGATATAGAAACTATTCTTACATGTATTGATATGTAATGGCTGTCTTTTGTTAATTGGTAACACTTTACAATAAGGTTCATCAGTTAATGCATTTACTAACATGAACTAATCATGAACAACACAAGTACAGCATTTATTAATCATAATTGAACATTTACTAATGCATTATTAACATCCAAGTTTATGCTTGTTAACATTAGTTAATGCACTGAGTTAACATGAACTAACAATGAACTACTGTATTTTCATTAACTAACGTGAACTAACATGAACAAATACAGTAGTAAATGTATTGTTCATTGTTTGTTCATGTTAGTAAATGCATTAATTGCACATTAACTAATAAACCTTATTGTAAAGTGTGACCTGTTAATCTTGGTAAAATTGTATAGTAATCATTATTCATTTGCTCAGAAAAAAAAACCCTTAAATTAAACAGGACACATTGTGGTGCAGAAAATATATATATATTTTTTGACCTAATTACAGTTTGCATAATTTTATTATAGTAATGGCAACTTATATACAGGTCTCTGCATTTTGCTGTTTTAGATGTGGATTTTGTTACTCCTCTCTGCTCTCAAGTGGTTTACGAGGGATTGGTGGATGACATTTTCAGAATAAAATGTAGTAAGTCATCAGAATTCGTTCACAACATGTTTAGCAAAAACATACTGAAATCTTTCATTCTCAGATCTTCAAGTTCATCCCTTGTCATTTGTTTATATTGTTAATAGGCAGTGTGGAGTTTGGCCCTGATGTCACTTCCTCTGACAAGAGTATCAAAGTGATGCTTAACTCTCAAGATAAAGTAAGAGTCACACAGACGTCATTAAGTTGACCATGATTAGAAGCAGCTATGTAAAAAAAAACTTTCTTTGTTTTGATTCATCAGGTGTTCAATGAAATAAGGAATGAACATTTTTCCAATGTGTTTGGCTTTTTAAGTCAGAAGGCTAAGAATCTTCAGACAGCATATGATGTAAGTGTCATGATGTAAGGCTACATATGGCGTGTGTTTTTGTAGTGCACATTAATGTAATAACATTTTGACATTTTAGCAGTGTGACAATAAAAAACAAAAATGCTAATTGTTAACAGAAACGGCGTGGGATGGACATCCAGCAGATGAAGGCGTTTGTTGCAGATGAGCTGAAAGGACTCAAACAGGAACATCGTCTTCTTAGTCTTCGTAGGTTTTGTATACACTACTATTAAAGATTTCTGAATTATAAATTAATACTTTTATTTAGCAAGGATTCGTTGAAAATGGTCAAAAGTGACTGTAAAATAATTTGTAGTGTTATATATTAATGTTCCCGTGAAATTTGCATTTTTTTCATTTGATGTTTGACGTAATCTCAATTTAAAGATGTAGAGAGGGAGGGGCATAGAATAGCCCCTCCCCTTAAAAAACAGCCAATAGTGTTTTGTTTAATCACATCTCTGCCAGTGAGAGTGGTTGAGCTCAAGCGTATCAAATGAAAAGCAAATGAGAAACGTCTTGAAGTAGGTGGGGCAGGTCAGATACTAGGAGCATTTGATTTGATGGGAAGCTGAAGTATGAGGAGGATGTTTATATCAGGTTTATATATTCTAAATGTGGATTTTGTTTGTTTTGGAGTACACTACTTTAAAGATATCCCCAAAGCTAACATATTGATACTAAAATCTAAAAAACTTTATTTTAATTTCACAGGACCTTTAAAGATGATCAAAGAACCCTGAAATTAACATTTTTTCCCCCGTTATAGATATTGGTGCAAGCGAATCCATAATGAAGAAGAAAACGAAGCAAGATTTCCAGGAATTGTTGAAAACTGAACATTGTAGGATTTTTTTTATTGATATGAGATCATTCAATACATCATAGCTATAACTTCACCAATTTATTTATATTTTCTTCCCTTTGTTCATCTTTTAGCATTACTTGAAGGCTTTGAGATCCGGGAATGTATTGCTTACATTGAAGAACATATCAACAGACAGGTAATAGAAATTAAAGATTAGACTCTAGTATAATGATGCTACAATAATAATCATGCTTGAGAAACTCTTTCTATCAGGTGTCGATGATTGATAGCCTTAGACTCCTTTGTCTGTTGTCTATCACAGAAAATGGTGAGTCTGGTTTACGCCTTTATACTAAATACATGATTTAGGTTTGTTTATGTCAGAATCTTTTGATGAATGATTGCATTTAATCCTCCCACAGGCCTTCTGTCCAAAGACTATCGATCTCTTAAAGCTCAGTACCTTCAGGTATGTTGTCATTTTAAAATGTACGCTTATGAGTTTATTTACATTACTCGTCATGAATTTGTATTATTACTTGTTTTTCTAATAGGGATAGCTCACCCAAAAATCTACATTTCTCACCATCAGGGCTTAACATTAACTTTTTTGACCACCAGCCACTGTGGCTAGTAGTTTTCCAACATTACTAGCCACTCGCCATTTTCACTAGCCACAATTTTATTGTTGGGAAAATATATTTTATACACATAAATATGACTTTGACATGCTAAAATTACTTGATTTAGAGTTTGCGTTATCTCTACATGCCTCCTCATGCATTTCACTTTTTGTGTGTCGTGTATGAGCTTGCTCAATATTCATGAGCAAATGGGTCAGGGTTTCATATATTACAATTAGTTTTCATAATTTTCAGAGCCCAAAATGAAGGATTTATCCAATTTATCTCTAACCACACCATAAATAAACAGTTAATTATTCCTTAGCCACAAATTTTTTAAAAATGTGTGAAAACATGCAAAATATAACTGAATACTATACTTTTTATTTAACAAAACATATGCACAGTCATATGTCCTGGCTAAAGGTCCCAGATCACCAGTTAACCACATAAATGGGGAGTTATTCTCCCATTAAAGCAATGTTATTGTAAAAAATAATAATAATTAAACCATATTAATGCAAAAGAATGCAGGTAAAAAATATACTGTGTGATAATAAAAGGATGATCGCACACGCATGGTTAATGATAGGCCCATAAATGATCTTTTCAAAGAATGGTTAAACCGATAGCAACTGGCGCTGCTTACAATAAGTCAACTCTGGAACTCTTGAAAGCAGCAAACTGTAGGTGCATGTTCCTCCCTTTTGTCCAGTGTATTTGAAAGAGAATCGATCGCATCAGTTGTGTTTCTACACACAGTTGCTTCGCAAAAGGAAACGGGAGCGCGCACAAGTTATAAACAGTCGTGCGCATCACAGCTGTTAGCGCGAGTGATTATCATTCGGTATTCACCTGCTTTGCTCACGCGAAGTTGTGAACGCAATTATTTTTGTCAATCGTGTTGCTTCTCGATCGCCTGTGCATGCATATTGGACCATCCTCATTGTCAAACCCTGCTTTTAAGAATTATTATCTGGGAAAATTATTTTTAACCAGCCAAAGTGGCTATGGAGTATCTGTCTTACCCGCCACCGCCGAAGTCTACCCACATTTGGCGGATTGGCGGGTGCTAATGTAAAGCCCTGCTCACCATTCATTTAATCAAAAATCACTTTTATGAATTTATTCCTTCTGTTGAACGCAGAACAAGATATACAAAGATTGTAGGAAAAAAAGTCCATAGTAGGAACAAATGAAAAAAGAATGTCTTCTGTGTGTTTAACAGAAGAAATTAAAATGTTTGGAACAAATAAAGGATGAGTAAATAATGAAAGAATTTTCATTTTTAGGTGAACTTTCTCTTTGAGTAAAATCCTGAAGTGAATGATCTGAAATTACTCAAGCTGTTTTAGCAATTATGGGCTAGATATACAGAAAAAAAATTCATATGCATTTGTTTGAGCTTCACTTCAAATGCAAACATAGAAGTACATAATCTCAGAGAGTGTGCGGTAGAACACAGCAAAAATACTTTTCTTACTTAGATGTTTTGTCTTGTTCTTGTCCAAATATCAAAAGAATCTTTATCTTAATTTCAGAAAAATATTCTGTAATTAACCAAGTTTTTCCTTAAAACAAGCAAAATAATTTGCCAATGGTTTACACTGCAAAAAAATGCTTTTCTTACTTAGATTTTTTGTCTGGTTTCTTGTCTAATATCTAAAAATTCTTAAATCAAGAATAATTTTCTAGACAAGCAAAACATATAGTCTTGTTTTAAGAAATAATCTGCCAATATTAAGTGAGTTTTTTCTTAAAACAAGCAAAATAATCCGCCAATGGGGTAAGAAAAATAATCTTATGTCAAAAGGAAAAACAAGATTATTTTGCTTACCCCATAATTTGCTTGTTTAAAAAAAAAACTAAATTCTGACATATTATTTATTTTGCTTGTCTAGAAATGCTTTTTGATTTAATATTTTTTGGTTTTTGGACTAGAAACAAGACAAAAAAAACTTTAGGTAAGAAATACCTTTTTACAGTGAAGAGAGAGAATTTTTTCCACTTCTGTTATTTTATTGTAAATATTCTAAGAAAACAAACTTCGGTCACGAATACTCCCGAGATTTAGTATGGTAGTAAATATGGCAATGTTGATGTATTTGGTCTTGGCGATATAGATTTGCTACGCTGCTGCTTTGATTATTATGGTAGAGCAAATACCACGACCTGCTTCTGCTAGTATATACACAGGCATGCCGTCTCAGAATAAAACACGCTGCTGCAAACATAGTATATATGTAACCCCCCGTAGCAGATCTAAACACAGGTGGAGCTGAGGTGGAGAAGGGTCTCCGAAAATGCGCCGCAGCTTGACAGCGTAAAATGACATCGGGCATTTAAACTGATGAGGAGCAAGCTCATTGGCTGCCAAGGTGACAGCAACAAATCTCCTGTGCCATGTAGTTAAGGACGCAGGAACAAATTAGGTGAACCTATCAACCTGTGTGCGCATTGAGTTTCATGGAAGAAATTTCACATATACAGGGTGGGCCATTTAAATGGATACCCCTCAATAAAATGGGAATGGTTGGTGATATTAACGTCCTGTTTGTGGCACATTAGTATATGTGAGGGGGCAAACATTTCAAGATGGGTGGTGACCATGGTGGCCATTTTGAAGTTGGCCATCTTGGATCCAACTTTTGTTTTTTCAATAGGAAGAGGAAACTATGGATACTGGAAGCCTGTGCTGGCATTTCTCCTGCGGTATTGCTATCAGTGTGTGAAGAGTGGGAGAAGAGGGTTGAATTGACAATCCAACACAATGGGCAGCACATTGAACACATTTTATAAGTGGTCAAAAACATGTAAATAACTCATGAAAGAAGGAAGTTACAATAAAACCAAGCACACCATTGAATTTCTTGTGAAGTTCCCAATAAGTCTGATGTGTCAAATGACCCTCTTCCTATTAAAAAACAAAAGTTGGATCCAAGATACCCAACTTCAAAATAGCCACCATGGTCACCACCCTTCTTGAAAAGTTTGCCCCCTCACATATACTAATGTTCCACAAACAGACCGTTAATATCACCAACCCATTTTATTAATAGTAATAATAATAATAATTCCTTACATTTATATAGCGCTTTTCTGGACACTCAAAGCGCTTGACACATGGGGGGAATCTCCTCATCCACCACCAGTGTGCAGCATCCACCTGGATGACGCGACGGCAGCCATTTTGCGCCAGACCGCACACCACACACCAGCTGATTGGTGGAGAGGAGACAGTGATGCAGCCAATTGAATATGGGGATGGTTAGGAGGCCATGATTGACAGAGGCCAGTGGGCAGATTTGGCCAGGATGCCGGGGTTAAACCCCTACTCTATTTCGAAGGACATCCTGGGAGTTTTAACGACCACAGAGAGTCAGGACCTTGGTTTAACGTCTCATCCGAAAGACGGCGCTCACTGAGCAGTATAGCATCCCCGTCACTATACTGGGGCATTAAGACCCACACAGACCGCATCTTGGGCGCCCCCTGCTGGCCTCACTAACACCACTTCCGGCAGCAACCTAGCTTTCCCATGTGGTCTCCCATCCAGGTACTGACCGGGCGCAGCCATGCTTAGCTTCAGTGGGCGACCATGTGAGAGTTGCAGAGAGCTAGCTGCCGGCAAATCTAATGTATCCATATAAATGGCCCACCCAGTAGATCACCTAGGCATTAGTTCATTCATTCATTTTCTTTTTCGGCCTAGTCCCTTTATTAATCTGGGGTTGCCACAGCGGAATGAATCACCAACTTATCCAGCACATGTTTTACGCAGCGGATGCCTTTCCAGCTGCCACACACCACTGGGAAATCGCCAAGGCATATTATGTTATTTTTTTGCACTTTTCTTGGCAGATTGGCCAATTTTGAAATGAGCTATATCTGTAATTTGCACATGGTCATTCACAGAACCAAACACTCTCATTTCTGGTTCTATGGGATTGTAGCCTCATATTTATTTATTAAATCAGGCCCTATATCTTCAGTAATGCCGTATGTTGTTTGTCTTGTTCAGAGTTATGGTATAGAGCACCTGCTGACGTTTGCAAACCTGAGGCAGCTGGGACTGTTGGAAGAACAGCAAACTGGAGAAACACTGACAGTCATGGAGAGTAAAGTAGGGAAACTTGTCAATGACAAGACTGCAGGTGAGAATGCTGACAAGTGCAATTACTCTGTTTTTCTGTTTTTATACCTGCTATGAAAGGGAGAGTTGAAACAAAGCCTGTCAACATTTACTCACCTTTAATTTCCAAATCAGTTTGAGTTTCTTTCTTTTTCTGTTGAACACAGAATAACCATTGATTTCCATTTACGTAGAATTTGTTTTTCCAACTGTGGAAGTCAATGGTTGCTATTTTGTGATGATTATGATATATATATATATATATATATATATATATATATATATATATATATATATATATATATATATACATACATACAGTTGAAGTCAGAATTTTTAGCCCCCTTTTGATTTAATTTAATTTTTTTCATATTTATAATATATATCCCAAATAATGTTGAACAGAGCAAGGACATTTTCACAGTATGTCTGATAATATTTTTTCTTCTGGAGAAAGTCTTATTTATTTTATTTCGGCTAGAATAAAAGCAGTTATTATTTTTTTAAAAACATTTTTGGGACAAAATTATTAGCCCCTTTAAGCTATTTTTTTTCTTGATAGTCTACAGAACAAACCATCGTTATACAATAACTTGCCTAATTACCCTAACCTGCCTAGTTAACCTAATTAACCTAGTCAAGCCTTTAAATGTCACTTTAAGCTGTATAGAAGTGTCTTGAAAAATATCTAGTAAAATATTATTTTCTGTCATCATGGCAAAGATAAAATAAATCAGTTAATAGAAATAAGTTTTTAAAACTATTATGCTTATAAATGTGCTGAAACAATCTTCCCTCCATTAAACAGAAATTGGTGAAAAAAATAAACAGGGGCGCTAATAATGCAGGGGGGCTAATAATTCTGACTTCAACTGTGTATATATATTTGGGTCTTGAAAATAATAAAAAGAAGCTCATTCTTGTTTGAAAAAAGTTAAGGGTGATTAAATGTTGGCAGAAATTTTACTTTTGGTTCAACTATCCCTTTAAAATGTATTTCTGTCTATCTGATCACGTGGAAAACACTAATCCAGGTGTAAATGTTTGAGCTTGTCCACTCTAGACCAGTGGTTCCCAAAGTGGGGGTCATGGAAAAATGAAGGGGGGGGTCGCTTGGTGATTTCTAAAAATCTAAGTTCATTAAACCGTTAAAATGATCATATTTTATCCATAACCTAGTGAAGATAAAAATAGTAGTTCATAGTTACAGCCTTTTTTTTTTGTAGATTGTGACCCTTTGGGTCATTACATTATATTGAAGACACAGCAATAGCATCAGATGCAGCAGATTAATTTTATGCCACCAGGTTAAACTTATGGCACACTTACAGCACTAACATACATAAAAAATAAAATAAACGAAGAATAAACTTGGGTCTGTTGGTGTGTGTGCACCATTAAATGCAAGGTTTCTATATTAATAACTACCTCAGAGGATTTTGGTAGTCGCGAGTCACTGGCATTGTTATTTTGGGGGTCACAGGCTGAAAAGTTTGGGAACCCCTGCTCTAGACCACCTCTAGAGGTAGTTGAAATCAGATTGCTTTTGGACATATGATCATTATGGGATGCAATGTGAAAAGTGCACTAAAACAAATATTCTTGCTGCATTGTATCAAAAAGATTATGATCAGAACTATAGTACCATTCAGTACCATTCACATTCATTGAGGGCCTGACAGATTTTGTCACTTTTTTTGTCAGCGAGTGATTTTTTTTTTTCTTTCTCATTTTTAAAAATCATCTGTAGATTTATGCAGAATGATTTTAAGGGTATAGAAGCTGAAAACCTAAAAGAAAAAAAAAAATATATATATATATATATATTGACTTATTTTAAGGTTTACGATTAGAACCTAAGCTGAGCACATCCACTAAAAACAGAAAATATTTCGTTACAAATTATATTGTACAAAAATGCTTCAAACCTTTGTAATTTGACCAATAATATAACTGCAATAAATACACAACAGCTTGTATACATAAATATACACATAAATAAATGCACTTTTTCATAAGTAAACAAATCTGTGATTTTTGTTGATGTTGATTTCTGAGGGTGTAGATTCTGTGTTGGCCTAAGCCATGTACCATGTTAGTTTTGCAATGAACACTCTCATGAAAGTGGTGCAAAGCATGAAAAAATAAGACAGAAGGGTCTTGCTTAAATCTAAACATCAGTGGTCACCCTAGACACTTCTGAACGCATGTTAATAACACTTGTGATTGGTTCCCTTAAAATGCACTTTAATACCAAGTGAAAACGGGGCTTTTATTGTGCTTTTTCTTGCTCTAATTTGTATTACATTGACCATTATGTGCACATTCATATTAGTGATGTTTCTGTTTAGGGAAGCTGACGGATGCCTTCTCCTCACTGGCTAAGAAGAGCAATTTCCGAGCTCTGAGTAAAAGACTGGCTCTGGTTTGTTCATATATACAGTTTATTAATCACTAAATACAACCAAAAACATTTTCAAATTATGATCGATTATTTATATACAGGTGCCAAAGTCTGGTGAGGAATATGACCTTCGCGTTCCACGAGACATGGCTTATATTTTCAGTGGTGCTTACATTCCCCTGAGCTGCAAACTGATTGAACAGGTAACACTTTAACCGCTTATTGCTGTTATTCAGCTGCCGATCAGCATTTTACAGGGTTTGCTTGTGGCCTGTGCTCCCGCAGGTGCTGGAGAGAGATGGGTGGACAGGTCTGGAGGAGGTCACACGCATGCTGAATGGACAGGACTTTGCTGTAACAGGTTTGAACAAAGTATTTGTTAAGCATAAAGCTTAAATGTTGTTGTTAATGTCCGTGTGAAATCTAGATTCACAATGTTTATTTTGCAAGAACAATTTATTTGCATTTAGAAAATTTTAAGGGCGTCATGGTGGCTCAGTGGTTGCAAGAAGGTCACTGGTTCGAGTCCTGACTGGGCCAGTTGGCGTTTCTGTGTGGAGTTTGCATGTTCTCTACATGTTGGCGTGGGTTTCCTCCGGGTGCTCCGGTTTTCTCCACAGTCCAAAGACATGTGCTATAGGTGAATTGACAAAACTAATTGGCCGTAGAGTATGTGTGTGAATGAGTGTGTATGGATGTTTCCCAGTACTGGTTTGCAGTTGGAAGGGCATCCGCTGGAATAGTTGGCAGTTAATTTTGCAGTGGTGACCCCTGATGAATAAAGGGATTAAGCCGAAGGAAAACGAATGAATGAAATATTTTATATACATAATGACATTACAGCATATTTTACTATAACATGACATAAATAAAAGGAGAAATAAATGTAAGCGACACTATTCCATCAACTTCCAGAGAGTACATGGTTGTATCAAGTTGTCCTTATGCATTTCTACATGGTTTTGAATATAGTTTATAAAATGATACCACATGCTAGTGAACTTGCTAGTGAGCACGAAAAAATGTATTTTTAATGAAAATCTAACTATTTGCTTCCTCTCTGGAATGGCAGCCCTTCTCTGATGATGTCATTTTGACGAATTGGTGAAATATGCATGGCCACGCCCCTCCACCCTTTAGTTTGCTGCGAGTAAAAAATGAGGAGCTGACAATAAAACTCTGCCCCTACTCAATATTACATTTCAGTTGGAAAGACATTATAATATTGGAATAAAAGACTGCCGCCTCTTCTAGTTTAGGCAGAGTTTGAGCTTTGTGAAATAATTCTAAAGTGGTGGTTATAAATTATATTATTAATAAATAATTAGGAGTTGTGTTTAGATATGTATGAATATATTGTACATCTGGCTTGTAGCAGGTTGATGGACATAGCGAGCAATGCTCAAATGCAGCCAAACAATTAGTTTCTTTAAACCCACATTGTAAAAAATGCAAGGTTCCACACAATCGAATTGAAAATCCTTCTCTTCGTGTATAAAGCCCCAAATGGTCTAGGCCCTCATTATTTATCCCAACTGATTGTTAATTACACTTCTCAAAGACACTTGTGTTTCGCTGATCAGTTTTTATTAAAAGTTCCAAAGGCCCACCTCAAAAGTAGGGGCAAACGTGCTTTTGCCATAGCAGGTCCTCGCGTCTGGAACGCCCTGCCATTAGAAATAAAAAAGGCTTCGTCGCTGCTTATTTTTAGGTCTAAATTAAAGACGCATTTATTTTCTAGGTCTTTTGAAGCATAAGTCCTTCCCTTTCAGAAAGGGGGCAGGGGGGGTATTGGGAGTGGGGAGGGGGATCAAAACGGTCATGTTCTTAATCGTGTTTAGTGTTGGTCAGCTGTGGTAGCGTCTTTTAATTAGGAAAAAAATATTTTTATTATTTTTTTATTTTATTTGCTCTTTTATTGATATTCTTTCTATGTTCCTTCCTATTATGTGCCTATTGCTGTTTTATGCTCACATCATGTGTTTATTTTCTCTCTGTAAAGCACTTTGTGCAGCCTTGTGGCAGTTGGAAATGTGCTATATAAATAAATAGAGCTTAAACTTGAACATTCCTTCAGGTTGTCATAACACATATCGATTACGTTAGCTTATTAGTTTTTACAAATGTAAGTGGATAGAACATAAAACAAATAGGTTGTCCAAAAAACAACTTCAAGTATTGTGTTGTTTCAGCTTATTTTATACAAGTAGTTTAAACAAACAGCAAACAGAATTTTGTGAGTGCTTCAAAACCAAAGGAAACAACAAAAAATTTGCTATAAACACTGAAGGCTTAAACATAGATATATATAATATGCATGTATAATAGTGAATTAGACAGAGGGATAATGAGTAAATTAGATAGCAAGATGGTGGAGACAATATTGATGTAACGATATCAGAATTTCACGGTACGATAATACCTCGGTGTGAATGGCACGGCTCAGTATTTTTTGAATAATTTTCAGGAAAAACAAAACTAATGAAAAGACTCGACAAAAGTGCCAAAAGTGTTTATTTACCTTAGCACTGAACATATCAATGACATACAAATTAGCCGTCTATCTGTAAGTTTCGAAACAGGAACTTCAATTTTTCAATTTTAATAACAAAAAACTGTTAAACCATGTAAAAAAAATAAAGTTTCAATTTAGTATTGTTGAAAACTCATCACATTCAACATTTAATCACTCACTCACTTAGATAGAGATGTTTTTTTTTTAAGGAAAATTATCATATAACTATAATCTGGTAAAAGCTGGGCTCTCTGGGCATGTCCCCTGCAACAGAAAAAACCCCTCTCATTTGGGACTGAGGATTCTGGGGGATAGAGAGATATGATTTAGCCGAGGTTGACAGCAGTGGATAATGTTGTGCATTGTCTTTCCACTACTTGAGAGGACAAGCCATGAGTGAGATAGAGGTGTCTAGACAAGTCAATGTCTGCATCAATCTAACAAGTGTGCTGTGTTTCTGCATTCCCCATGACTGTTTTTAGTCGTATTCCCAGACTTATATTTCACCACAGTCTGGCAGTGCCTGCATACAGTTTTTTTCTTTGTCTGTCACCTTTTCTCCTTTTTCGTATCTTTTTAGATAGAAACCAAAATGCTTCCACACATCCGATTTAAAACTCGCTTTAGGTTTGATCATTTCCAGCTCTTTTTCTTCCCCGCTACTAGCAACACACTCCATTTCCGCATTACTGGATCTGTAGTGACAACAGACTGCAAAGGATGATGGCCACGCCTAGGCTGATGGGAATTGTAGTTCCCGCTACTTCCCGTTCGCTTCATTCGCCTAAGCAAACTTTTCTCAGAAATATAGTTTTATTGAGTCATGCGCCTACGGTAATATTGATAAAAATTACTATTGCAGTATGACGGTATTTGCAATATTGTTACATCCCTAGGAGACAATGAACATCCAAGGCAACTAGTAACTCAGGAAAGTGGGGAAAGCTAAACTAACGGGGAGTGGCTGGAATGAAAAAACACAAGGGCAAAACAAATAAACACTACGATTAGACAGGGACTGTAACAACCTTTCACATCTTTTACATCATCAGTTTATTTGCTGTAGTTTAGAAAAATGGTAATAAAATGATGGCAAGTCCTCAGTACTTCACAGCTTAACAGAACAAAATTGTCATGATAACTATCAATATTTTGCTGGGCCAGCCTTTCCCTCAATGACAGCATGCAGTTTCAGCTGTGAGCCAGGTTCATGCAAAACCTGAACTTCAGTATTTTCTCAGACTTATTGTAGCAGCTTCTTCAGTTCCTGTTGGTTTGTAGTCCACTGTATAAAGATTGTTTTGAGGTATAACTTTCACTTACATAAATGAACAGTCGTGTCTTGTATCCACTAGCAAAAAATATTTCAACTTTATATTAATATTTAATTTGTTTATTTTTCTATCAAGCCTACGTTTTCCTCTTATTTGCCCCTCTTGTATTTTTAGGTGGCAGCAGTAGTTCAGAAGCCAGGAACAAAAGTAATGGTCAAAGGATCGTCCTAGTGATGTTCCTTGGTGGCTGCACTTACTCTGAGATCTCCGCACTCCGATTCCTCGGCAAGGAAAGAGGTAAAATACTGAAGAAAGCATTTTTGCCTTTTCATGGTTACTTAACTATGTGGTTAATATAAAACTGTGCATTTTAAGGTTGCAGATTCATAGTGCTCACAACAGCCATCACCAACAGTGGACGGCTTCTGGAAGCTTTACTGGATAAACATGTTTGAGTCAACATTCCGCAGGAGGACGCTTTATGACCAATTTCAGGACTGAGCACGAAGGACAGAATACATCCTGATTGTCTTTGACATCAGAATCACCTCTAAACACAAACTATTTTCACAGGGGATGAAAATACCATTAAAAATCTGCTATATCGTTTATCCCCTCATGTCATTCCAGACTTGTTTTAAGGGATAGTTCACCCATAAATAAGAGTTCTGTCATTGTTTACTCACCCTTGTTTTGTTAAAAAACTGTTTTTTTTTTGTTCTGTTGAGGGAAAAAATACTGTGGAAGTCAGGGGTTTTCAACATTCTTCAAAATATCTTCTTTTGTGTTTAACAGAATAAAATATTCAAGCTAGTATTGAACAAGTCAATTGTGACTAAATTTAAATTGAACCATCCTATTAACTGTGTTTCTTCCATGGAACATACAATCTGACATTTTGTAGAATGTTTGTCTTGATAGAAACTTTATGGAACAAAACACAGAGCCAGCTCTTAATATATATTTTTGAGGTTGAGTAAATAATGACAGGATTGGCATTTATGGGTGAACATCTATCCCTTTAATCGTCCACACAGGTGTCATCTGAATTTATGAACAGAAAAGTGTCAAATGTGATACAGTTCTGCACTTTATAAAAATGTTTGTACTCTGTTCATAGTGTGCAGATTCAAGACTGAACATTAAAGTTACTGCTGTCCGCTGTGACATTTATCCCTGGTTAGCTGTTATTGAGTACACTGTGAAGTGGTGCATTGCCCTGATTTATTAGTGTGTATCTTTTTAAGTTAAACTTAATATGTTTATTTTATTTTCCAAATGGAATAGTAATCTGATTTCTGCAATTGCCCTGATAAGAATGAACCATAGTTAATTAATTCTACAGGTTGTTTTCACATGATGTCATTGATGGTGAGCAAAATTCAGATGGAGGGTAGGAAGTAATTCTTCTACAGTGGAATCGCTATCAGAACATCAAAATATTTATCTTTTATAACGTTTATAATTGTTAAAATCAGCCAAAAAGATAAAGGCCAAACAGTTTTTATAGACTTCCAAAAGTTTTTGCTCATAAAGTGGGGAAAGTTCAAAAACTTGCTGAAAAACAGAAGAAAAGGCGGCATGTAATAAACCTTTTTCAATACATCCATGTGTACAAACTTTTTTGAACAAGATGATTCGTTTGACAAAGCCTACAAATATTATATACCGGCCTGGCTATTTGTATAAATATGTTGATGTGTTGTATAAAAATCAGATACAAACACCACTACACTTATACAACATCCAGGAGAATATAAAAAATGTACTCTGCCATGTAATTACTGCAATGGAATCTCCATCTTGTTTTGCAACAATCCATGTCAGTGGTGTTGCTAAAAAACTGCACACAATTAAAGGGGGTCTAGTGACACTCCTGGTGAGTCTCCTTCTTTTGCTCCACTCCAATCTGCAAAAGACAGCACCAACAGACTGAACAGATCTCTACTCTATCTCTAATGCACAAGCTGTTCTTCTGAAATTTTCGGATACATTTTCAACAATGCTCTTGTGAGTCTCCTGCTTCTGCCTGTTGTGGTTCCATTGCCCACACTTTAAATGACTGCCACAGAGATGACATCTAACAGTCTATGCCCACCTCCACCCCCTTCCTCTTGGAAGGACATCTATGTATGCACTCATTCTTCTGCCTTTGAAGGATATTCCTGATCATCCATTTCCAGTCATTGCTGAGGTGTGTGATTCCTATTTTTCCCCCTCCATTCTGTAAAAGACAAATACAGGACTAACAGAGCTCTACATGTTTGCTGAGCTCCAGCAATGAACAATTTGTTTCCCTTTTAGTGGGAACTTTGAAATGTGTCTACCGACACTTTGTGAGTTTGCTAGATGACCAGTCACTCTGAAGTGTAAGAGAACAGGCTCCGCTGGTGCAGGCGATTAATCATTAGTAGAGTATGTAACCAGTGCACGCGGAGCAACTGTTAGACTTTTCACTTCAGAGCCTCACGAGAGACTGAAGAGAACCTTCTGCTAAGCTATCAGTATCAGAAAGAAATCAGTATTCCATGTAGTCCCGGAGACAATGCATACAGCGGCAGCAGGACTGGGTCTACCTCCCTCCTCCTGGGTATTTCACTGGTGACTAAAATAGCAGTTTCTCCCTGCATGTCGGTTAGCACTCGGGCAGGCCTGAAGGTCACAGTGGGGGCTCATCTGTCGCCTTCGGGCTTTCAGACCCCTCAGTACTTCACAGTGTGCTCCCTCTAAGGCCCCTTTTACACTAGTGCGTTTTAGTTTTAAATCAGCGTTTTAGAATGAAAACGATCCTGGAATCGCTACCACCCTATAGAGGTTGTGAGTGAGGTCTCGGATCTGGAATCAGACATGTCGGCCATGCTAACCCGGGCTGCTTCAGTGGTGGGCATGGAGATGGCTTGTCCACCAGTTCCACCGCCAATTAGATGGGTGTTACGTGGGGGAGAAGAAGAGGATCAAACCCTCCAAGCCCCTTATCCCCTTCTTTCCGGAGATGCACAGTGAGTTCACACAGACACGAATGGCACCTTTTTCTTCCCGAGCAGCCAGGGGGTACAAAGCAATTCCCGAGGTTGAGCGCACTATTTTGGTCAATCTTTGCCCGGAATGCGACACCAGCTGAAGTGGACAGCCTAGACTCCTATCCAAGGCATGCAAGCTATCTGAGTTTCGCATAGCCAAAGAATACACTGCTGCGTGCCAGGCCGCTATGGACCGCATGCTATGGTCACCTATCAATGCCACTAGGTTCAGAAGCTGGCTGAGCTGCACAAGGGTGGTTCCTCTCCTGGCTTAATGCCTGAGCTTTGCACAGCGACCGACTATGCTCTCATGACCACCAAGTCGTCTGTTCATGCCCTGGGGAGGTTGATGGCTACACTAGTGGTCCAGGTACACCTCTGGCTTAACCTGGCTGATATGTGCAACGTTAACAAATTTTGCTTTATACTGCACCCATATACCAGTCAGGCTTATTCGGTGACACCGTCTGCGACTTAACCCTGGAGTTCTCGGCAGTAAAGTGCGATGGGAGAGGTCATTCATCTGCAGGCTCAGAAAACTGCTCTTCCCGTCAGCTCATCCACATCCCCCCACTGCCGAGGTCGCCCACCTGTGGCACCAAGACCTGATCCGCCTCCGCAGCCTGCTCCACTGGCTAAGCAGCAACAACAAGCCCCCACAGGTTGGAAATTCTCCCACCTCAGGGTGCTGTTAATTCTGGTAAGAAGACTGTGAAGTGTCCCTGAGACAGGCCACCCATAGAAAAGGGGAGCTGCTCTTTTCCCGGTGGAGGACCGGGACCAACATCAGCAACAAAAAACATCTCACTGCTGGCCTCCGGGCCGGTGGTAACCACATTTTCAATAAAAGAGCAGTTTTCTCTCTCTCTCCAGTGTGCAAGCCCGAGCGCTGCCAGTCTGGGATGCGCCGGCTTCCAACTTGCAGTGCCGGAGCATATTGCCACAGGCTCCAAGGGTGCAAGAGGACGAACTCCTTTCTCTCTCTCCTCCTGCCTTTTTTTAAGATCCAGGGAGGTAGGTAAGTGACAAACTCTTATTTTCAGCTTTTTTAAAGAGACACTCCGCTTTCTAGAGTGAGCTCTTTCCTCCCAAGCTGCCCCACTACTGGCATTGCTCCGATGATGCCAATAGCATGAGCTCTGCCACCCTGGTTAGCGATACACTGCCCTTTAAGGCTATTCAGGATGCTTACACAAAAATGCATACTTCAATGCATCCATCCTTGGGATTGATTTGCACCTATAAACCTGAAGGATGCATACTTTCGTGTTTCCATTCTTCCATGCCATTGATTGTTTCTTCGGTTTGCGTTCGAAAGTCAAGCATGGCAGTACATGGTCCTACCCTTCAGGCTTTTCCTGTCTCTGCGGGTTTTCACCAAGCTCACGGAGTGTGCGCCGTAGTGCCTCTTCGGCTCGTGGGTGTCCACATACCTAATTATCTCGATGACTGGCTTATAATGGCTGAATCAGTGAAATCACATGTCTCAGCTCATTAGCCATCTGCTCCTCTGGAGTCATACATGATTGAAATTGCTGTGTGCCATTCACACCCTCGGCAAGCTCAATTGTGCAGCCAATGCATTCTCATGGCAGCTGACATCTCAAGAAGAATGGAGACACCACCCCGGCACGGTCCAGTTGATATGGGAGCACTTGGGGGAAGCCCAGGTCAACCTTCTGCTTCTCTTGAAAACCCCCATTGACTAAGATTAAGACCCCTTGCATATTTGCACTGGCCCCCGGCCATGTGCAAATATGCATTTCCCCCAGTGAGCACAGGCTCTGTGCAAGGTTAGGGAGGATGCAGGTTTAGAAAGTTGCACCTCTCTGCTCAAACTGGACCGGGATTTCCGAAATCGCTCCTCGCAATGGTCCCTCTCTGGCTTATTCCACTGAGAAAGGACCTCCTTGCATCCTCTGGCACCCGCTCCCAGATCTCTGGTGTGGTCCTCCAGGTGTGGTTCATAAACGTAGCTTTGAAGACTTAGGTGACCTACCAGCATCAGTGGTTAACACTCTCACTTAGCCTAGCGCCCTGAAGTTGATTCTATTCACTGAGTGGTGTACTTCTGAGTGATGCAGTGGATGGCAGCACACCCAGGAAGCATAACCTAACTATCCGGTTCCTCAGAGGTACTATTAAATCCATCCTGCCCCCCTCTCATGCCCTCGTGGGATCTCTCTGTAGAGAGATCTGTTTGACCGACTCAACTCAGTAACCTTAAAAATTCTGTCCATAAAGAATGGTTGCGTTAGCATTAATCAAGAGGATTGGGGATCTGGTGGCATTTTCGGTCAGCAAATCGTGCATGGAATTCAGGCCGGCCTACTCTCACGTTATTACGAGCAGCTCTTTATCTGTTATGGTGGTCAGCAGAAGGTAAGTACAATGACCCACTCTGATTTGCTCACTTGGTCTACCCACATGCTGAGGATCAGTGCCAGCTATGCGTGATCCCCATGGGTGATGCCATACACAACATTCAGCCACGAAGTGGACCCATGTCTTCCCTACCAGCTAACAAGCTAATGATATGTACTGTAGCACTCCCCCTGGATAGGGCTAGCCTATATGTGCATATTGTCACACATTGTAGCAGGTGGTCCTTCCCCTTTAGGACTGGCATGCTTTTCAATGTACTGTCGTATTTTTAAAATCCTAGACTACAGCTAGCTAGATAAACAGCATATTTATGACCCCCAATTATTCCTATATTCTATTAATTAAAGGGCATTGGTAGATGCTTGTGCGCTCATGCTTTACTTGGCAAAGGTGAAGTTAGGAATATGCATTCATGTGGTCTTCAGCTGATAGCTGAGTACTCTACTAATGATTATTCACCAGCAGCTGCAGAGCTGAGCTCTGCCAACTCATAGGTATTCATTGGCCCGTTTTCTAATTCCCAAAGTGTCGGTAGATACATGTCTTCATTACCATCTTCGGGGGACGTGTGTTATGTTCATAACCAGGATGCTCTCCAGTGTTCTTCAAATTAATATCCACTGATTCTCCATTGAGTTTTTTTTTCTTTTGCATGTTGTGTGTCAATTACCTGAAAATGAAACGCATGCCACAGACAAGACATCTATCTATCTAGCCCACCTCCACCCCCTTCCTCTTGGAAGGACATCAATATATTAATCTAGGAAATACCTAACCAGACCATCAGTTTCCAGTCATTGCTGAGGTGTGATTCCCATTTTTCCACATGCCCCAGCCTAAGTGTTCTCCAGTGTTCTTCAGATAAAACTATTCACAGATGCTCTTATGAGTTTCCTTCTTCTGCCTGTTGTTTGTCGATTGCCTGGAAAAGAAGCACCTGCTACAGACATCTATATAACTATTTAGGCCCACCACCACCCCCTTCCTCTTAGAAGGACATCTATTTATCTACCTGTTTATCCATCCATCCATCCATCCATCCATCCATCCATCCAAGAAATACCTATTTTGACCATCCGTTTCTAGTCATCACTGAGGTGTGATTCCCATTTCTTCACATGCCCCAGCCTAATCTGCAAAAGACAAAAACAAGACTAACAGAGTTCTATATGCTGGCTGAACTCCAGCTATAAACAGTGTTCACCAGTGTTCTTCAGATAAATCTCCACATGATGCTCTTGTGGGTATCCTTCTTCTGCCTGTTGTGGTTCCATTGTCTACAATTTAAATTACTGCCACAGAGAAGACATCTAACAATGTTGTTCACCTCCACCCCTTCCACTTGGAAGGACATCCATCTATGCACTCATCCTTCTGCTTTAGTAGGATTTTCCTGATCATCCATTTCCAGTCTTTGTTGAGGTGTGTGATTCCTATTTTTCTCCACATGCGGCACTTCAGACTGTAAAAAAGACAAAGACAGGACTAACAGAGCCCTACAGGTTTGCTGAGCTCCAGCAATGCACAATCTGTTCTCTAGTAATTTTCAGATAAATCTCCACCAATGCTCTCATGTGTTTTCTTCTTCTGCCTATTGTGTGTCCATTGCTTGGAAAAGAAACACCTGCCACAGACAAAACTAACTCCATTGTTTAATCTGTTCAAGCCCTTCTACTAGTTCGCTGAGCTCCAGGTCTTCAAGTGTATCTTCACTGTTCCCTTTGTGATTCTCCTTCTTCTGCTCCACTCCAACCTGCAAAAGACAAAAACAGAACCAACAGAGCCCTCCCTGCTCTGTTTTAGATAAATGTCCATCGACATAATCCTGTGAGCTTCCCTATTCTGCCTGCTCTCTCTCAATTACCTGAAAAAGAAAAACCTAACACAGACAAAGCCTATCTAACTATCTAAACCAACCACCACCTGCTTTATCTTAGAACATTTTTAAAAAATAAATAAATTCCTGACCATCAATTTCCAGTCATTGCTGAGGTGAGTGATTCCCTTTTTTCTTCACGTGGTCCATTCAAATCTGCAAACACAATAGAAAGATATCAAGTGGTTAATTCATCTTAATACAATTCTTTGGACGTTTCATCTACCATTGTATCCAGTCTGGTTCTGTTCTAACAAAGCAAATAATATTTCACAGGTATAAATAAATACTCTTTAAGTTGACAATCTGTTAACTTAGAACAGATAAATGTGTTACAATAATTAGTAAAACTGTAAATAGAATAAATAACAATAAAAAAGCTACAAATGTTGAACAGGCCGACAGCATAAATTACAAATAAATAATACAACAGCCAAATAATCTATCCACCTATAGACTTACAGTAATATGTGTTAAAGCAGACAGCATATTAATACATTATAACAGATCAATTTATCTGACCATACAGCAAATAACAGTCTGCAAATGTTAACAAGACAGCAATATACAAGTGAAGCATACAAACAAACAAAAATATTGTATCTATTGTATGTCTATCAACCAGATAACATTACAAATGGCATTCTACAACTATAAACAGGGTACTAAAGAAGATAACAATACATAAACTAGAATAAAAAATATATATATTCAAAATCCTAAAATTGACAAGTCAACATACTGTATCATTCTTCAGTTCCAACCAACATTCAGTAACGTTACAATCTACAGTCTAACCGAAAAAAATATATGTGGAAACAGTAATATAATAATGTGAAACGACATAACAAAGAAAAATACTAAAATCTTTAGTCTCCTTCAGCAAAAGCATGTCGAAACAGCCACATATAATAAGCTAAAATTATACTTTTAGACAGATCTTTACTTACCGCTAATGTCAGCGATGGCCAGACTCTTAATGCAGTTTCTCTCTGTCATCGGATGCTTTTGGAACACATTCTTTTTCAGAATGCCACGGACTATGGTTATCACAGCAACGCCAACGCCATGGTTAATCAATACCAATAATAATAATGGTAATAATAATTCTGTAAAAGATTTGGGTCCCTGTAACGCTATCTTTTGAGTATATAAATAATCACAACATTGATTCTCAATTTGCAGTGTAATGTCTAAAAATAAAATATAGTTGAGTTTACACATCGCTGAATAACACTGAAAGGTTTAATCATATTGTTATATTTTTAATTATAGGCTATTGCTGTTGTTTTATCAAATTTGTAGTATATGTATTTTGACACTTCAGCAGTGAGTAAGCTGCACATTCATTATATTATTAGATAAGATTGCAAATGTTTATTCTTCATTTCATGCAGTTGTACCATTTCATTTTTGTATCTGGAAATGAATATTTGTTTGTGCTGAATCACTGTTGTTCATTTGTCATTTCCTTATTCTGTTAAGAATATAACAGCCTTTAAGTGTCATTTATAAGAGATTTACAATGCATGAATAATTCTCAGTTAATAAACAAGGCATGAATAATCCTCACTCAAAACAATAGGAATAAAGCACACGCAGTAACTTTAACATAAGATTTTTTAAATGTTTTTTTAAAGAAAATTACTCTGCTCAAGGCGGCATTTAATAAGTGTAAAAGAATTGTTAAATCTTCATTATATATTTAAATTACTGCCTAGTTTCAAATGAAATTACTACAGTCATTGCTTTTATTACCATTAATAATAATAATATTAATAATTAATATTAGAGTGATTTATGAAGGATCCTGAAACTAAAGACTGGACTAATGAAGCTAAAAATTACAATATTTAAAATTAGAACAATTCACACGTGATTGCAAACATGCTATGTTTTTTTAAACTATTACTATTATACTATTATTACTATTTTAAGAACAGTAACAGTTTTACTACAAACATAATAGTTTAGTGATTCTATGCTGAAAACAGGTAATATTACAGGTAAAACAGGTAGTATTACAATATTAAGCCATACATTTATAAAAAATTAATTTAAACAAAAAACAACACAATGTAAGTACGTGTTATTTTTGCGTTTAAAAACATTTGATATTAATAAATATTATAAATAAATATATGCTTAAGATTGTAACATATTATATATACTTTACATTTTTTTTACCCAACACTGTTTGTGGAAGCCCGGTGTTTGCTATCAGAAAAGTAAAATCAGGTGTGGTCAGTTGAAAATGGTTCTGAGGTCATGGTGGAACAATCCCTGCCTGTTTGACACATTCTCGCGCGTGCGCAGAAAGAGCTCTAAACAGCCAATCAGACGAGCGCTGCTGTTTGATGCATGTTTTGAATCAGACAGAAACGGTTGCGCGCACGATCGCAGTGCAAGGACTGTACGGACAAATATTTCTTCATAAAACACAAATAAACAAGCGAAAAGCCTTGAGTTGAGGTTTTATGATGAGGAAGAGGTGAGTGAGTTTAGCGATACGTTATAATTTCCTGGTGTTTGTCTACGAGGTCTTAGATTTGAAAACAGTGTGTCATTTGATTAACATGCAACTTAAGTTAACGTTACGTAGTTTGCGTGGTGTTTATTCAGGAAATGACTGACAATGTATGCTATCTCACACACATTAGATGGGGTTAGATTTGGCTCCACTGCGGTTCTAGGTATTGCTATGACATAGCAGGTGTTTTAACGTTAGCTCATTTGACTTTGGTTCTTTCGTACAGTATGTCTGGGCGTGTGTGTTTACTACTGCTCTAGCACTATAATATGCTATAATATTACATATTGCTAAAGCAGTAGTTTATTCATGGGTAACGTTTTTTAAACTATTCATTACATTTCTAAATACTAAAATCTACATAACGTTAAATCATATTTTGTTGAGTATAACGTTATAACAATAGAAGTGATTTAGTTTTTTGTCAATTTCAAAAATTTGTAATGAAACTTGTTATGGGTGGATCATTTAACATTACGTTACCTTTTCCAGTTAATGGATAATTTTCAACAATGTATAATTTCTGTTGTTGTGTCCATGATTTTAGTGAGGTGATTGCTGCAGAGTCAGTGGCATGTCTGAATAAAGCTCTCTGCCATTTGAAAGACATCTGGGAGGAGATTGGCATCCCTGAGGATCAGCGGTTAGAAAGAACAAATGTAGTTAAGAATCATGTTAAAGTGAGTGTTGAGTGTGCTTGTCATTCTCTCATATTTAGTGGGAATCGTGAAAGATGTTAAAACTAACAAAAGATACTTTGTAGGGTCTTCTGGACATGATGATTGCAGAGGAAGAGAGCCTACGGAAACGTCTAATGACCAGTATTGAGAAATGTCACAAAGAGCTGAGTAAATTGTGCTTGGAACTGCAGAGTCCTCCATTTCAGGTAAGTAGTTATACTAACACTGGATACAAACTATAGATAACCAAATAATCAAAAATGAACCCCATTTTGGTCTTGTTTGATGTATTTTCTATCGAAACTAGAAGTTTAGGAAGCAATCCCTGGGAGAAGTAGACTGTTGTACAAGTAAACTGGCATTTACATGCTCAAATGTTTGAAATCATTACAGTTTGTATTTTAGTAAGAAGTCTCTTATGATCATCATGGATGTGTTTATTTCAGAAAAACATACAGTTAAATAACCATATTGTGAAAGGTAGACTCTTCAGCTGATCCAGGGTTTTGTGGAAAGGCAAATCAAAATCTGCTGACAGTGTTTATTTGAAATGTGTATATTTTATATGTACGTGTCTTGTCTCTATTGATCATCATCCTCATTCAACCTAAAGTACCAAATTCTTATTTTTTACTGTATTTTTACAGACTTGTTCTAAAAGCCACAAAACTCCAGCATTTGTTTGGTAATACTTTTAAAATAATTGTCCATTAGTTAATATATTTACTAAGAGGAAAGCAGTATGAATATTCATCTAAAGCATTTTTAAGCGTAGTTCAACATTTTACTAATGTGCTTGTTAACAGTTAATTCACTGTTAGTTGATGTGAACTAACAAGGAAAGACTGTAATTTTATTAACTAATGTCAACAAAAATTAATAACCACTGTAATAAATGTATTGTTCATTGTTTGTTCATAGTGGTAAATATATTTACTAATGGAACATTATTTCAAAAGTGATTCCTTTTGCAGAGTTTTCGCTGGCTCAAAATAAGGCAGAGGAGGTATCCCTATTATCAAATATTTATCATTTGAAACAAACACATTTTGCATTATTCTTGTAAAATGATCTATTAAAAACATGATCTTATTTTTAATAAAACTAACAAATGTAAGTAAATACATGTCCATTGCTTGGACATCACTTGTGGTCTGTCAGTAGTAGGGCTGTGTGATTAATCAAAATCGTATCGCAATTTGAAAGAGGCTGCGATATGAAAGATATATGTATTAAATAATTTCCCCTACCCACAGCAAAAGCATGACTGCCGTCTGTGTTTGAGTCTTACTAGCCAGTTAAGTGAGCTAATTTTTTTTCTGCCCAATCAGAATTGTGCAACTGAACTATACGGAACGCCCACAATTAAACAAAAAAACAAACAAGCAAACAGGAAAGCGCGGACAAGTGGGATAATGGCGTCTGTCGTTTCAGAAGCATTAATAGACAAATTCATATCAAAGAAAAACAGCATGTCAGTTATATTGGACCATTTTGGTTTCAAAATCAGAGACACCGAACCAAAAGTCATCATTCATAAGAGCTGTCGCAGAATTGTTGCCACAGCACAAGGAAATACAACGACCAGCACCAAAGGCGGCTAAATGAGGAGTGTCATGCTAAAAAGTCAACTGAAGGTATTGCCAGTGACACTCTAGTCTAGTAGCAAGCAACAGCAAAGTGCAATTTCAGAGTTGTTTGCAGCGGTTACACCATATGAAAAACACCACCAAGGCACCAGGTGATAATCCCATTACTCACTACTGTATGCTCTAGAGAAAAATTAGTGTTTATTTTCTAAATTTTTATAAACAATTTTGAACAAATGTTGGAGTAAGTCAATATCTTTTCAGTTTCTTTTTTAATTAACACTCACAGCATTTTAGCAGTAAGAAGCTATGGTATAGAACTTTGAGCAGAAGCTTGGCTACAAAATTAAATTGCATATCAAATCGCAATATCTGTCAAAAAATCGCAATTATAGTTTTTCCCCAAATTGCACAACCCTAGTTAGTAGTCATTACTGCCTGTCTGATTTTTGTTAAAAGGTGGAGGGGGTACAAAACTTTAAGGAAGTGGCCGCATTGTAACTCTCTATGCAGGAAAAACCCTGCTATTTTGTTTTCATAGCGTCTCAATAAAAATAAAGAGGGGAAAAGCTTTCAAAGCATCTTTTTTTGACATTTAAAATCATTTTAGGAGGAGAAAAGTGGCACTATGCTTCAGCGGGAAAAAGAACTCCGGACCCATGTTGAAGTGATGTTAAAAGAGAAAAACCAGAGAATGCAAGCACTAAAAGCATTAACCGAGCAGGATCAGGATCTCTGTGACCTTCTCTGCTCGCAGCCGTTTTCTATCTCTCCTGGTTGTGTTCCATCCATGGAACAGCTGGAGAACTTTCATCAGCACATCTCCTGCCTCACTGCTGAGAAAGTATGACAATACTTCATTTTTATTTTTTACACAGTCTGACTAGATTTAAAAAAAAAAACTTAGGGTTCAGTTTGATTTACAGTTTGTTTATCTTTCCAGGAACGAAGACATAAAGAATTTGTCACGTTGAAGAAGCAGATAATACTTTGCATGGATGATCTGGATCAATTGCCTGAGACTAGTTTTGAAAAGGATGTCGTTTGTGAAGATGAAGAGAGTTTTTGCCTGTCTAAAGAAAACATTGATTCACTCAAAGTCCTCCTTCAGCAGGTACAACAAACATAAAACAGTGACAAACTCTGGTAAAAGTTAAAGGAACACTCCACTTTTTTATAAGTCCCCAAGAAATAAACAGTTCAGTTTTACTACTTTTAAATCAATTCAGCCAATTTCCAGGTCTTGAGGAATCACTTTTAGCTTAGCTTAGCTTAGCTTCGCTTAAATCAAAGAATCTGATTAGACCATTAGCATCTTGCTCAAAAAGTGTTTTGATAAATTTCCTATTTAAATATACACTCTTCTGTAGTTACTTTGTTTACACAATGTTCCGATGCTAAAAGAAAAGTTGCTATTTTCTAAGTTGATGTGGCTAAAATGAGGGCAAGGCTATAGTTTCTACTTAGTCTTAGTACATGATACTAAGAGTCAAGATACTACTACAGAGAGTCAAGCTTTAAATAGTAAAATTATTGAAACCGCATAATTTTTATTACATTTTAGTTAAAAATAATTTGTGAGCGAGATGCTAATAGTCTAATCGATTCAATGATCTCTGCTAAGCTAAGCTAAAAGTGCTCCCGACAGACCCGGAGATTGGCTGAATGGATTTAAAAATGGTAAAGCTCAACTGTTTAACTCTAGGTGACTTGTAAAATGAGCCTATTTCCAAAAAAAAAAAAAAAACAAGTAGAGTGTTTCTTTAAGAACTGTATAATCTCGTATTTAAATATTTCAGTTGGAGAACAGGAAGGCCGAAAATAAACGTGTCTGTGGCTCTTATCGAGAGAAGATCCTGGAGCTGTGGAAAAGGTTACAGATTCCACAAGAGGAGCGTGATGTCATTTCTGAGCACATGACTCTGTCAAAGAAGAGGAATATGGAAGCTGTTAGTAACTTTATCTTATTCAGATTTTTGCTAAGTACATTTCAGACCTTTTGTTTTCCTCATCATCTTCAGTTATACAAACCTTTGTTAATTATTGCTTCTGAATGACATTGCACTAAACACAGAAGATGAAATTGTTTTGTCCTCTTCCGCCAGTTACAAGTTGAGGTCAAACGTCTTGAGGAACTGAAGCTTAAAAACATGCAGAATGTTACAGAGACCCTTCGGAAGGAGATTGCAGTGTACTGGGAAAAGTGCTTTTACAGCGCTGACCAGCGACAAGCTTTTATGCCCTATTATGATGGTGAGTTTTTTTTTTTTTTCAATTATACTTTACTGATAGTTTACAGTTTAAAAGCTGTGTAAAATATAACGTTTGCCTTCTCTCTTAGATGATTTCAGTGAGGAACTCCTGAGCCTACATGATGCAGAAATTGTGCAGCTTAAACAGTACTATGAGGATCATAAAGAACTTTTTGAAGGTGTTCACAAGTGGGAGGAGAACTGGAGACTTTTCATAGAGCTCGAGGTAAGTTACATTGTCTGAACGTGATTATCAAATATTTTACCATGAGCTAATTTTCTGATAGGAAAGAGCCATGTTTCATGCTTTTTTAAAGGAAAGAGCCAAAGATCCATCCAGATTCACCAACAGAGGAGGAAACCTTCTAAAAGAGGAGAAACAAAGGGCTGATATTGTCAAAGGTCTCCCTAAGGTAATTATGAGAGATTTATGCTTATATACAGCGATAGTAAATATTTTAGCAGTCTAAAATAACAATAAAATAAATAAATACTGTGACAGTAAAAACTAGAAAGAGTTTTATTACGCTAAAAAAATTTTACATTTACAAAACTGACGATAATTGCCAAAATCACATCACAAATCACAATTACACAAATCACAGAATAAAACTAAACATTTATTTAGCAATTATAATATGACACTCCTTTTCAGTTAATATTTCTACACATTAATGCTTTTTAAAAGTAGCTAAACTAATGCATCCAGTTATTGTGGTCATATGGGTTTTTTGCAATATCATGCAATTTTTAAAAAAGCCTATTCCAGACATTAAAAGTGAATTTTATATTTTTGTTGTCCTAGTCATGAAATATCATGAATTTTTGTTTGTGATTTTACTTCCCATTTATCAAAATGTATTTTTGGGGGTACACTTCATTTTAAGGAGACGTAATTACATTGAACTACTCAGTAATATGAATTAATTACAGTTGAAGCCCCCCTGAATTATTAGCACCCCTGTTTTTTTTTTTCCTCAATTTCTGTTTAACAAAGAGAAGATTTCTCAACACATTTCTAAACATAATAGTTTTAATTACTAATTTCTAATCACTGATTTATTTTATCTTTGCCATGATGACAGTAAATAATATTTGACTAGATATTTTTCAAGACACTTCTATACAGCTGAAAGTGACATTAAAAAGCTTAACTAGGTTAATTAGGTTAACTAGGCAGGTTAGGGTAATTAGGCAAGTTACTGTATAAAGATGGTTTGTTCTGTAGACTATTAAAAAATATATATTGGTTAAAGGGGCTAATAATTTTGGCCTTAAAATGGTTTTAAAAAAATTAAAAACTGCTTTTATTCTAGCCAAAATAAGACTTTCTCCAGAAGAAAATGTTTTTGTCAGACATACTGTGAAAATTTCAACTGTACATGTACTTATTATATGATTGGGTTAAGAATGTGGGTCAGGTTTAGGGTTACATGTAATTTTGCGTAATTCATTGAAATTACTTTACTAAGTGCCTGGAACATGTGTAACTATAACCTTGTATTGAAGTGTTACCCTGTGTGTTTTTTCTGCCTGTGCAGATAAGCACTTTTACAGTATTTGATGTATTTATAAAATGTTATTTAATATAAAATAATGTAGATAGCACAGGAATGATGTCCTGGCTGGCCAAAATCTGCAAGAAGTCTGCAGCAATTAAAAAAAAATGGCACCAAATTCTCAAATTTGGCACCATTTACTTAGTGATTGCAGAATCTTGAATTTCTGGAGGAACTGCTCAACACAACAGCTGCATTTATTTCTGTTCATTATAGGTCATGGAAATTATGCTTTAAAAAGTCTTTGCAAGTCATGGAATTTTACATTTGGAACCCTGATTTAAAAGAGTTTAATTTCTGTTGTCTATATATTGAGATTTATAGTGATTTAAGCTGTATTGATTCAAGTACTTACTTTTCAGACAAAACAATTAGATGTGTAATTTAAATACAATTGTAATGAAGTAATGAGTAATTTATTATTTTTTTAAGTTAAAATTTTCAATCCTTGAAAATCAATTGAATCTTAATTTAGTGTTTTGGAAATTTTAAAATAATATTTTAAATTATTAAAAAAAAACTGCTTAAAAATGAAATTGTTTTGCTTTCCTAATTATTCATCTCACTAAATAGGCAATACTAACTCTTACTAAATAAGTAATAATAAACTATTTAAATAAAACTAGAGTCTGTTCACGTGCCTAGCTGCAGCGTTTTTAAGATAAAGATAAATATTAATTGAGGATGAGAAATACGTGAAATTACAAATAAGAGAGTAAATGACAGTAATTCATTGTTGGGCTTGGGGCAAACATGTCACTAAGCTAATCCATGCTATACTATAGAATACTATAGCAAATAGCATGAAATATAATGTAATATAGTATGTACATGTGTAATTTGCCACATAGTACAATACCTAAAAAGTTTGAAATCCTCTGGAAAGTGTCTGAAAAACACTTCAATTTAACTTTGGAAAAGATGAAAGAATCCTGAAGTGTGTGTCTCTCTCATTTAGCTCGAGAAGAAGCTGAAGGCAGAGATTGAGCAGTGGGAACTTGAACAGAACAGAGAGTTCCAGGTAAACGGTCAGAAGTTCATGCAGTTTGTTAGCGATCAATGGGAGTTGTACCGGCTTGAGAAGGAGCGGGAAAAACAGGAGCGGGTATGTATTTTACTAAAAGATGCGAATAGCCTTTTTTTATATATGCATCAACCCAAATTTGTCGACTATGTTGTATTCACAAATGATATTTTAAAGGGCAATGTCCATGATTAAAGTTTAATATTGATTCTAACAATGCAGCAACTAAAGAAGAGCAAGCAGACAGAGGAGGACATGGTCTATGGCACTGTAATCCGCACACCGACTAAACGAAGATTTCTGGGCAGCACAACGCCTTGTAAAGCTCGAAAGGTAAATGCAATAGGATTGTATTTCTTTTTGATTGTGGAAGGTGTAAAAGGTCAACGTGAAACCCTGTTCGCAACCCATTTCACATGTAATGTGATATTTTTGAGAGAAAAAGTTGTGATAATGAAGAACAAGGGCTGGACTAATTGGGTTGTGAAAAGTGGGTGCTCATGTTGCCTTAACACTGATGCACATTAGGACTGCAATCATCATTAGAGCTGCAATCATTTAGACTTTAAAAAAGCAAATATGTGATTTATGAGATGTGATGTTATCGCAACACTAAACAACGATATTTCTTATGATCTTACTAACTTGCAAAATGCATGTTGTTTGAATGGCAAATCCATTTGCGCCACTTTGTGGACTCATAGGTGCGTCGGTCTAAATAGGAGGTGTGTTCAGGCGCATTGTTAGTGCGTTGAAAGAACTGATATAGACAGCAACATTGACCATCTAAAAGCAGGTCTAAAGTTTAGCGCAGAGCGTGTTAGTTATGTGCCTATGCAGGTCAAATGCTTACACATTGCTTAATACACACAGGATGTACAGCAATACACAAATATCTTTACATATGAAAAAAAATAAAGGATTAAAATGGTACAAAAATTATTATTTTCTACATAAATACAAAAACCACTACCTCCATGCCTTCTTCATCTCAGGGCCCTTTTTCAGTTTCTAAATGACAATTTGCATGTGTATAATGTTATATTTATTATATGCATATTTATATTTTTTATTAAAAACACTAGTTTAGATTTGTCCACCTGTCGGGTTTTGGAGACGTCTGCAATGTTGTTTGCGCACACTTCGGTATTATCGTTCATTTATTTGTTTCATGGAAATTAGAACTAAATTTAGATATAATTTTGAAACTAATCTTTGTTTTTAACAAACAAAATTAAATATGTAGGCTAATCAGCGGAGTGCGTACAACAACGTTTCCTTATCCACGAAAGTAAAGGAGTAAAGAGTAAAAGTAAAGAGAAAGAAAGAGGCCGAATGGAGGAGACTCGTTCTTTATCCTTGCACTGGAGATGGTCTGTTTAACTGTTTTCTCACTAGTGAAGCGTTTGGTTGTAAATAGCAAATGCGCTATGGCGTGACGCAACTGCTTCTCAAAGGGAATGTGAGATGAGTCTCTGATTGGTTTAATGCAGGTTATTCTCAAAACACACCCATAACTCATTAAGAGAATAAGCACAACCCTGCAAGACCATGCACCAAGGTGCAGAGCGTACTTTTTCTGTTCTTAAAATAGTAAAAGTGGATTAGGACATGCCCTTAATGCTTTTGCGCCATGTACTATAGACTTTGCCCCTAGATCATTAAAATAGAGCCCATGGATTCAGTGCCTGAAAAGTACTTAAAAGTGCCTGTATTAAATTTTAAATGAAATTTGTTTATGATGTTATTTCAACGGTTTTACTCAACTGTCAAAAACAATGTAAAAACTGAGAAATTCCTCAATAGCAATGTTTTAATTTTAAATCTTATGCTATAACACTGACAAATAAGTCTCATTTTATCAATATTTCAGAAACCACATTTGAATTCAATAGTATTGAATTTTTATTAAAGTTCATTAAACATGACTGTAACATTTCTAAAAATTACTCTGACATTTTTAATTTAAAGAATAAGTATAAGTGAAATGTTAAGTACAGTAAGGACTTTCTAGCGATACATATGCTGGGATATGGGTAAAAAATGTGCTTAATTTTAAAATTAATGCTGCTTTAAAAATGTCCTTGAATTTGCTGTTCATGACACATTGTATTTATGTAATGATCTTACAAATATATCAGTTGGTGGGGATAAAGAGAGTAAAGGCACCATCTGATTGGTCAGATTTGGACAAACAACCTATGCAGGCAGCACACAAATACTTTCCACAAAAAATGTAATGAATTTGAACTTAATAAAAATGTATTGCACTTCTCTGCGATACGGATATTGCATACATTATTATCGCAATATGATGATCTTTCGATATGTTGTGCAGCTCTAATTCACATTAGGTTTTAATTAAATCAATGCATGGCTGCTGCTGTATTAACTCTTTGGCTTTTCCTCAGCTAAACCCTACCTCCAGCACCGGCACCTCTAACAGCACTATTCGATCTGTCATTGGTGGTACCGTCTGTCATTCTCCTATATCTCGCCCTCCGATTTCAGCAAGCAAGGTCAGTGCATGGCCGTAACAACGCTACCATTCTCAAGCATTTCATTAACTATTGTGCACAATGCACATTCTTTTATTAATTAACATGATAATATGTTGATTTCCCACTTCTCCAATGTATCCTTGTTTTTAAAACAGGGTAATGGGGTAAAGACTCCAGGACACAGCAAACCTCCTCATCAAGGTTTACTAGAGCGCAATAAGGAGAACATCTGCCATCTAACCGGTGGTGTTGCTGGGATGACGAAGGTACCAGCTAGTCCACAGCGAAACTTCAGCATTAACTCTGTCGCAAGCACCTATTCAGAATTTCAGGTAAATTTTTTATCCGCTTCATCACAGTCTGGTCAGAGAGAGCAAGAGCTTGAACTTAAAAAAGGGATAGTTCACCCAAAAGTGAAAGTTTACTTTTCCTTACTTATCCACCACTTGTTCTAAACCTGTTTGAGTTGCTTTCTTCTGTTGAACATAAAACAAGTTATTTTGAGGAATATTAGAGACCATTGATCATATTTAGTTTTCCTACTATGGAAGTCAATGGCTTTTGGTTTCCAGCTTTCTTCAGAAGATCTTCTTTTGTGTTCAACAGAAAAAAGAAGTCCATCAAGGTTTGTGACCGCTTAAGGGTTAGTAAATAATAAATAATGAAGGATTTTATGTTTTTGAGTAGGGGTGTGAACCTTTACTAGTCTCACGGTTCGGTTCGGTTAAGATTATCATGCCATCGATTTGGTTCAATTCGGTGCCTTGACGACGCTTTCCATAAACAATTAGATTTTTTCTTCAGAACAATAATTTTTTACAATTAAAATCTATAAATATATTAATATTTATAAATGATTTGTAATAAAATATTGTCTTTTAATGCAAGCAGTAAGATACATGAACTGTACCTTTAAATTTACCTGCTAAAAAAAACCACTATTTTTAAATATATCAAATACATGCACAGAAGACAGCATGAGCATTTGTACGAAATAAACTAATGTAAATATTATTCGGCTCCCTTTTTGAGTGCTGCCTCCACCCGCTCAACAGAAAGGGCTGCGCTTGAACGGTTATCACAGGTAATCCGTAATAGACACAGTGGAGAAAACTCGCAACTCCAGCACGCTCGTGTCTGGATCCACAAGTATCGCTTTAACAGCCGAGAGGAGAAGAACAGTTACCTCACAAACAGGCCAGTGCAGCGAGTCAAATATCCAAAGTGTGTGTGAGAGAGAGGCAGAGATGGAGTTTTACAGCATTTCTCCCTAGTAATGAAGACGTGGCTCGTGTGCTGTGCTTTTTTCATTGTCAATGATAGACTTTCCAGCAAACTCACAAGCAGTTGAATTGTGCATAATTCTCTACCTTTTATGTAGTTGAAGCGTTTTATTTACTCGCCCTCGCCTCCTTCGCCATAGTAATCTTCTGCGACATTGTGCAGAGGAGATAAAGGACATCAGTACATAATAATCGGTTATAATCTATTACTAAACAGATATCGAATTGCCCTTATTTGCATAGCGGTGCACAGAAGAAAAAATTAATTTTGACACCCCTATTTTTGAGTAAAATATCCCTTTAAATATGTTTATAGGATATTGAGTTGTGGTGAAACTGGTGATACAGGCATAATGTTAAGCTAATAATAAATTGTTTCCAAAGGAAACTGTCAAGCCTGAATCCATTTAATCAAGGTTTGTTTGAGATGGATTTTTCAAGTAACTGCATGGTAAAAACACTGCTTAAACACACTTTGACTGGCTTATTATCTTTAAAATGTGCAGTTTTGTACTCCATAATAAATCTAACCTTTTATACCTTTTATAAGGCATAATATATGGTTAGGTGAATAAACTCATGTTCTGATTTAATACTGACATGATGCCCTGTATTACCCTGAAGCAGTATTGGTAACACTTTATTGAAGGAGCTATTTATAGTCTGTCATGACTCCTTTATAATCACAACATGACATGACAATTCATGAATATGAAGAGATTTGACAACTGTCATTAAGTGCCATTTGCTCACTTATGTCACTTTATAAATGCAAAGATGGCATTGTTTAAGCTGTCTTTGTTATGACAACTTGACATAAACATATGCATCATAACCTGTAATTGTCATGACAGCCTGATATTACCAAGACAACATAACCTTGTTACAAATCTGTCATAAACAGGATCATCTAGAGCTGGGCGATTTGGCCTAAAATCTAAATCTCGATTAACTGAACATTTGAACTTGATTACAATTAATGAACGATTATTTTATTTTATTTATTTTATTCATTTATTTGCTCTCATAGTTCACTGACACGTTTTGTACAGTAAATATGCTCACATATTACGAGAGATTTTTGAATGAAGGGTGCACTACTTGATTATAAAATAATTGAAACACACACTGTAATGAAGTTCACGGCCCTTTGGCTGCCGCGAAGAAGGAGGCGGAGAACTGACGCAGTTTTTAAAATATTTATTTATAACATGAACGGCAGCTCCTCACGGAGACTGCCGTCTAAACCAAAACAAACGGACGGCAGCTCCTCACGGAGACTGCCGTCAAACTGAAAGCAAAAGTAAAATATGTCCGGGCCCGGTCCTCTTTTGGCTTCCTCTGCCATCGTTCCTCCTCTTATAGTCCAGAGCTCCTTCCGTGGGATTCGAGACCGGTGCGCACCACAGGTGCATCCACTTACACGCGGCCTCATTCCGTTCCCATGGCTCTCGGTCACGCCCCCTCGCCACACACACTATCTACTATGATTATTTATTGAACATCAAACATCTACAACTGAAATTAAAACACACAGTGCCTAAAACCAACAGTCACTTATTTCCTGTTGGCTCCTCATGTGGTTGGGAAAGTAATTGATAAAATAATAGGTCACCTATAATAATAATAGGTCATCAAATGACATTAATGTTTTCAAAGTTCACTGCGAAGGAAGATCATGAAGATCGCTAAAACTGAACTGTAAAAATACTTGGAATACAAATTACACCTAAAAGAGATACCCTTAACGTTTTTTATTAATGATTCCAAGTTTAAATGTTAGAATGTTCTAAATGAATAGGGCATAGGGTGGATAACTGGGAATAGAACACAGCCAGGAACTATGTTTCTAACTACAGCTCCAGAGGTGTAGTTGCAATCATACAAGTTTGCTACGCAGTTTGCGAATGTTCGTTGGAACAATGATTTTGGGAAATGCCAAATCAACAAACTATGTTTGTAACGACAGAACTTGTGGCTTTAGTTGGCTAACCATGGTTTTTGAAAATGCACCCAGCTCTGTGATTATCACAAGGCCATTGTAATTGTCATAAATGTTTTTCTGATCACTTTTTTTTTTTTTTTTTACAGTGGAACAAAATTCAATTCAAATTTCTAAGTAAAAGGGTCATTTCTCTGTCAAATACTTTTTTAACAGCTTTAATAATATTTTTAATGACTTTTTAATAACAAATTCAATTTGCTTTACTCACTTGAAAAAATATTAATATTGTTGTTATAAAATTATTGACAAAATTATAATGACCTCATAATAGTTATGTTTATGGCAGATTTATGACAAGATATGTTGTCTTGGTAATGTCAAGCTGTCATGATGATGATAAAAACAGGTTATTATATGTTTATGTCAAGTTGTCATAACAAAGACCTCTCAAACATTGCCATCTTTGCATTTAAAATGACACTTCCCATAAGACAGTTGCCATAAGCAAGCATGCATAAAATCTTCTTCATATTCATGACTTGTGTCATGTAATGATTTTAAAGGTGACATGCCAGTCTTATGAACCCCCCCTTCAAGTAAAGTGCTCAGTTATTTCTCTTGGCCTCTTTGAACTGGACTGTTTTCTCCTAATCAACACATCTAACAAATACTTCTATACTTGTAATTTGCAAATCAGACTAGTTTCTAAGTGTCATTGTCTACTCTTTCTACTACAGCTTATATTGTGAATGCTTAAGATATTAATTTAGCTTGTAAATAGAACCAATATTTAAGAGATCAAATCAGTTTGTGTATTTCAGAAATGAATCTGTCATTTTGTTGTTGCAGCGAGACCTCTCCAAGTCATCTAAATCAAAACATGTGCCTGAAATCCTCAACTCAACCATCATTCAGCTTTAACCCCACTGCATGTAACCCTTTGCGCTATCAGGATCAGGATCTTTACGTGATGGTTTGTGGGTTCTTGCTCTTTATAGCAATAGCTATGCATTTTATATGTAAATGAAGGTAACCTATATTTAAACATTTTGGAGGGAATCTACATGTACGTTCATTTTAATGCTAGGACAAACACTGCTTTATGTGTACTTTTAATTTAACAAATGTATGCACATTTTAATGTTACATCTGGTCAGCTGTCCCAAACTAATTAAGATTTTTTTAAGAAATACTCTAGAGCTCATTCTCAGTGTTAGCTACTTTCTCAAAATCACAGGATGTTTTTGAATGTTTTGCACAATGTAAAAACTTTATTGTATTCTATATGCTATTGTACAAATTATTATATAAAGGTCCACTTTTAAAAAATCTGTCCTGTCATTATTTCAGTGTCATCTGTTGTGTTTAATTATTCTGTTGGTAATTCCCCTAAATAAAGAAACCAGGATCTTCTCTCCACTACATTCCTTAGTTAGAGTTTTGTTTATATGACCATCTTTTATATTGTTTCAAGGATTAATTAAATGCATACCTTACCACAGGTGTATTGATGAGTTCTGCAAATGAAGCTAATAAACTTTCATTCATTCATTCATTTTCATCCGCTTTTCCGGGGCCGGGCAGTGGGGGCAGTAGTCTTGGGAGAGAACCCCAGACTTCCCTCTCTCCAGAAACTTCATCCAGCTCCTCTGGGGGAATCCTGAGGCGTTCTCAGGCCAGCCGAGAGACATAGTCCCTTCAGCGTTTCTTGGGTCTTCCCCTAGGCCTCCTCTCGGTGGGACATGCCTGGAACACCTCCCTAGGTAGGCGTCAAGGAGGCATCTGAAACAGATGCCTGATCCACCTCAGATGACCTCTCTCAATGTGGAGGACCAGCGGCTCTAGTCCTAGTCTAGCTCCTCACCTAATCTATAAGTGGGTGCCCTGCCACCCCTCGAAGGAAACTAATTTCGGTTGCTTGTATCCAAGATATTGTCCTTTCGGTCATGACCCAAAGCTCATGACCATAAGTGAAAATAGGAACGTAGATTGATTGGTAAATCGAAAGCTTTGCTTTTCGGCTCAGCTCCTTCTTTACCACAGTGAACCGATACATCAACCGCATTACTGCTGCTGCTGCACCAATCCGCCTGTCAATCTCACGTTCCATCCTTCCCTCACTCATGAACAAAACCCAGAGATACTTGAACTCCTCCACCTGAAGTAAGGCCTTTCCTCCAACCTGGAAATGAAAAACCTCCTTTTTCCGGTGGAGCACCATGGCGTCGGACTTGGAGGTGCTGATTCGCATCCCGGCCACGTAACACTCAGCAGAAAACAGCCCCTTTTAAACTTTACATATTACACTTTTAATAATAAAATAAATCAAGTGAAAAAGAAGATTAAAATGAATAAAAGAACAAAACAAAATCCTCTACTTTATTCTCTGTTGAGAATAAAGGGCCTAAGACTTCCAGTATACAGAAATCTAACTGCTGCTGGTCTGTCTGTCCCAATCTTTTATACAGTATTTAAGCCTTTAAATACTGGTGCGCCTTTAATGTTCTATGCTATCAATGTTTGATAATCTTGGTTATATAGATCAAGATAGCCCTTAGTATATCTCAAAAAATGTTTATCAACATTTGGGCAGTCTGTCAGGGTTATTCTCTAAATATGTACCTTTGAAGATAACGCTCTCAGGCTTTCGGTTGTAATAATTGGAGAAGAAGGGCTGAGCCGATAAATTATATTGTATCGAATTGCGATCAAATTTATATCAGTACCAATGATAAACTGGACTTTTTTACTCTATATTGATCTAAGAGTCAATCACACAGTAGAAATGTGCAACAATGGGAATCTAAGAGTGTGTTGATTTTAGAGATGTACTGAATTTTCGGCTACCGAAAATGTATTGGTTGAATATGATATGCCATTTAATGGACCCTTTAATTTTTGTGTTTTCAGTCATTGTTGGGGAACTCTTAAATCTGAAGGCATTAACAACTTAGGGCCTATATCAAAATATAAATCATTATCGTTCAAAATACAAAATAATTTTTAGTTTCTATATTGCTCTTCACCAGACGGTGTGCTCAAAACATAACACGCTTTGTGTTGCCTTTTATTTATAAAACTGGTATTTTTGGAGCTTCGGTGTTGCCGCCTTTTTGATTATATTTTTGCTCTTTTTGCAGTTTGGCTAAGCACCCATCTAGATGTGCATGCTTTTATGTATTTTTCTAAAACATTTATATATTAATAAAAAAATATTTTAATAAATACTTTAAGCTTATGGGCGACGCAGTGGCGCAGTAGGTAGTGCTGTCGCCTCACAGCAAGAAAGTTGCTGGTTCGAGCCTCAGCTGGGTCAGATGGCGTTTCTGTGTGAAGTTTGCATGTTCTCCCTGCGTTCGCATGGGTGTCCTCCGGGTGCTCCGGTTTCCCCCATAGTCCAAAGACATGCAGCAAAGGTGAATTAAGTAAGCTAAATTGTCTGTAGTGTATGAATGTGTTTGGATGTTTTCCGGAGATGGCTTGCGGCTGGAATAGCATCCGCTGCATAAAACATGTGCTGGATAAGTTGGACTGGACGGACACTCCTCTCCTATGTCGAGAAACATCACAACTAGCACCACACAAAACCCTAAGTGACAACAGGAGTCCAGCATCATAAGTCTTGAAGATGCTCCAACCTATTCCTAACATACACACACATAATCTTTTAAGCTTCCTATATATTTTAAACAGCTATTTAGTCTATTTTAAAGTGTCACTTTGTAAAATATTTAAATTATATTTGTTTCATTGGTTAACACAACACCAATTCAAAATGCTTTATGTGAACAATAATAAAAGAAACAAGAATTTAAATGATTAAAATCAAACAAAAATTGATAAAAGCGTTTTAGTCTTAGCAGGCTGACTCATGCTATTGCTCTGTGACTAAATAAAATTGTTAAAATATATATTAGCGTCGAATTGTAACTATAACATTTGATCCTTTTTAAAATTTGATTGTTTGAAAAAAAAAAAGAATTACCCAACAAACATTTTTTGTAAAACATTTACACAACAATTTATTTTAATAAATATTTTTAATTATTTTAAGCTGACTGTTGATTTTGAACAGCCAGTCTATTTTAAAGTGTAGGAAATTTGTAATCACTTTATTTAAAAGTATTTTAAATCATTATTTGAAATATTTAAATTTTTAAAATTTAATTGGTTAAGTATATAACACGTGTGTTTGTTAAAGATGCTGTGGTTGATTGGCCAGAGATCTGTATCGGCCGATAATCACATTTTTTTGACTTGGTCACTACCCACCAATCTCATGAACCGATCACAATTGTTTGTTTACGAGCTTACAAGCAGAGGACACATAAGAACTGAAATCTTTTTACAAATCAGAACCGAATGTTCTGTGCTTTCAACAATATTGCAAGTTTATTAAATCCTGGCTGGAAATATTAGGTAAATTAAAAAAAAAAAAAGTTTTTAACTTGAATATTTAATACTATTATTTATTGTTATTTATGTTTTGTAAAAAGTAGTATGGACCTATTTCCTCTAAGCAAAGAAGTAATGGATTTACAGGTGTGCATTTTAACTCCTTATGTGCTCCAAACTTCATTGAGACATGTTGAAATCTTTCCAAATTGTTTGATTAGTGATGATTTTTCTTACCAATTTTTAAAAAAACTATTTGTTCTGTAAAGCTGCTTCTGACCATGACATGATCACACTGACATGTTTATGGAATTACATGCAACATCTTTAATTTATTCTCTGAGGTAAGGCAAGATCTCCACGTCAGTATCACACTTGGACTGAAAATGTGATTTATGCATTATAAAGCTTGAAGCATCAGAATCGATACTTGGTATCGGTCAATCAACATGACAAAGAATAGGTACTCGGTATCGGCTGCAAAATTCCTGATTGAAGCATCCCTAGTGAGTGAAGCGAAGGCAAGTTTATTGACATTTTAAACAAGAATAAAATACCTATATAAGATAAACGATTTAAAAACAAAAAATGTGTTTAAACAGGTTTAAAGGGAACATCACTTAAGGCTGAGAGTAGCACATTATAGACTCATTAATACAATCTCATTTAAATTTAATACGGTTTTAAAATGCTAAATTAGCGTCGAATTGTAACTACCATTTAGTAACGTTATATAAGTAATATAGAAATATTATTTTCTTTGAATAAAATATTATCGTCGATTGTAACAATGTTCATAATATTAATAATTCATGAAAAACACAATCAGTTCGGTTGAGCAAATATTGTTATGGGAGGCGGGGTCACTCTGTAACCCGGAAGCAGATTGTGGTGAATGACGCGAAGCTTTAGGGTCGAATGGACAGACGGCAGAAAGATGGCGGATGACAAGAGCAATAGCATAGGCGATAATTCCACTAATAAACGCCTCTGGAGCTCGTCCATACGGGGATCGGCTCTTATCTTTATCTGTGCCCTGTTGGCGGAGCCCGCGCGAGCCACCACGCACTGGGTGGTGACGGAGGACGGAAAAATACAGCAGCAGGTGAGCGAGTGTGTCGCGATCATAGACTGTAAACGACCAGTCACTGCAGAGCTCTCTAGATGCTGTTTACAAGAGCAGACAGCCCGAGCAGTCACTTTCTGATCTCATAACCCTGCTTTATACAGCTGTCTGGCAGATGTGTGTGTTGACAGTCTTCTGCTTGTCGTGATCTCTCTCTCGCGTGTACTGGTTTTATTATACCGTTCAGTATGATATTGAGGTAAAGTTGGTTTGTTTTTGATCAGTGACACGGTGACTATATTGTTTACCATGCTACTTTGAATATTTGGTCTGAAATCGAATGTAAGTATGACTTCAACACAACATTAGCACTATTGAATTGACTGAACAATCTTGTACTTTGAACGTCATTGGCTGCTTAACATTGTATGATTTCCCTGTTTAGGGTTTGCCAATAATACTTTTCTGAAATTATATTATTAAGGAGAAATTCTGAATATGAAACCAGCTTTACCTCAGTAGCGTGATTTGTCTTCTTGATGTCATTTAACCTCTGACCTGATTCCTGTCAGACAGAGTGACTCTTGCTCTTAGCATGTGTGTGTGTGCGCGCATTGATTTTACACTTTGCCTTTTGTGTGTTCTTTGGTTTTTTAGGTGGACTCTCCTCTTAACTTGAAACATCCCCACCATTTAGTTCTTTTCATGCAGCAAGAAACCCGTGTGAACTACCTCAAGAAGTTAGAGGTGATTTTAACCCTCATGTTCATCATAATATCGTTGTAGAAACTTGGATAATGTGCAGTGTTATGTTAAAGACTAATGATGTTTATACTTTGCTAAACTATCCTGACAGCGAGGTATTGTA